GGGGGAATGGGGCGGGATGATAGAAAGCGGGAGAATGGGGCGGGGTGACGGAAAGAGGGAGAATGGGGCAGGGTGACGGAAATCGAGAGAATTGGGCGTGGTGATGGAAAGTGGGAGAATGGGTCGGGGTGATGGAAAGCGGGAGAATGGGGCGGGGTGATGGAAGGAGGGAGAATGGGGCGGAGTGATGGAAAGCGGGAGAATGGGGTGGGGTGATAGAAAGTGGGAGAATGGGGCGGGGTGATGGAAAGAGGGAGAATGGGAAGGGGTGAAGGAAAGCGGGAGAATGGGGCGGAGTGATGGAAAGCGGGAGAATGGGGTGAGGTGATCGAAGGAGGGAGAATGGGGCAGGGTGATGGAAAGCGGGAGAATGGGGCGAGATGATGGGAAGCGGGAAAATGGGGCGCGGTAATGGAAAGCGGGAGAATGGGGCGTGGTGATGGAAAGCGGGAGAATGGGCGTGTGATGGAAAGCGGGGGAATTGGGCGGGGTAATGGAAAGCGGGAGAACGGGGCGGGGTGATGGAAAGCAGGAGAATGGGGCGGGGTGATGGAAAGCAGGGGAATGGGGCGGGGTGATGGAAAGCGGGAGAATGGGGCGGGGTGATGGAAAGCGGGAGAATGGGGCGGGGTGATGGAAGGAGGGAGAATGAGGCGGGGTGATAGAAGGTGGGAGGATGGGCTGGGGTGATGGAAAGCGGGAGAATGGGGCGGGGTGATGGAAAGCGGGAGAATGGGGCGGGGTGGTGGAAAGCGGGAGAATGGGGCGGGGTGATGGAAAGCAGGAGAATGGGGCGGGGTGATGGAAAACAGGAAAATGGGGTGGGGTGATGGAAAGCGGGAGAATGGGGCAGCGTGATGGAAGGAGAGAGAAGGGGGCGGGGTGATGGAAAGTGGGAGAATGTGGCGGGGTGATGGAAAGCGGGAGAATGGGGTGGGGTTATGGGAAGCGGGAGAATGGGGCAGGGTGATGGAAAGCGGGAGAATGGGGCAGGGTGATGGGAGGAGGGAGAATTGGGCGGGGTGATGGAAGGAGGGAGAATGGGGCGGGGTGATGGAAAGCGGGAGAATGGGGCGGGGTGATGGAAGGAGGGAGAATGGGGCGGGGTGATGGAAAGCGGGAGAATGGGGCGGGGTGATGGAAAGCGGGAGAATGGGGCGGGGTGATGGAAAGCGGGAGAATGGAGCGGGGTGATGGAAGGCGGGAGAATGGGGTTGGGTGATGGAAAGCGGGTGAATGGGGCGGGGTGATGGAAAGCGTGAGAATGGGGCGAGGTGATGGAAAGCAGGAGAATGGGGCGAGGTGATGGAGAGCGGGAGAATGGGGCTGGGTGATGGAAGGAGGGAGAATGGGGAGGGGTGACGGAAAGGAGGGAAATGGGGCGGGATGATGGGAAGCGGGAGAATGGGGCGGGGTGATGGAAAGCGGGAGAATGGGGCGGGGTTATGGAAAGCGGGAGAATGGGGCGGGGAGATGGAAAGCGGGAGAATGGGGCGGGGTGATGGAAAGCGGGAGAATGGGGCGGGCTGATGGAAAGCGGGAGAATGGGGCGGGGTGATGGAAGGAGGGAGAATGGGGCGGGGTGATGGAAGGAGGGAGAAGGGGGCGGGGTGATGGAAACTGGGAGAATGGGGCGGGGTGATGGAAAGCGGGAGAATGGGGCGGGGTGATGGAAAGCGGGAGAATGGGGCGGGCTGATGGAAAGCAGGAGAATGGGGCGGGGTGATGGAAAGCGGGAGAAAAGGGCGGGGTGATGGAAAGCGGGAGAATGGGGCGAGGTGATGGAAAGCGGGAGAATGGGGCGGGGTGATGGAAATTGGGAGAATAGGGCGGGGTGATGGAAAGCGGGGGAATGGGGCGGGATGATAGAAAGCGGGAGAATGGGGCGGGGTGACGGAAAGAGGGAGAATGGGGCAGGGTGACGGAAATCGAGAGAATTGGGCGGGGTGATGGAAAGTGGGAGAATGGGTCGGGGTGATGGAAAGCGGGAGAATGGGGCGGGGTGATGGAAGGAGGGAGAATGGGGCGGAGTGATGGAAAGCGGGAGAATGGGGTGGGGTGATAGAAAGTGGGAGAATGGGGCGGGGTGATGGAAAGAGGGAGAATGGGAAGGGGTGAAGGAAAGCGGGAGAATGGGGCGGAGTGATGGAAAGCGGGAGAATGGGGTGGGGTGATGGAAAGCGGGTGAATGAGGCGGGGTGATGGAAAGCGGGAGAATGGGGCGGGGTGATGGAAAGCGGGAGACTGGGGTGGGGTGATGGAAAGTGGGAGAATGGGGCGGGGTGATGGAAAGCGGGAGAATGAGGCGGGGTGATGGAAAGCGGGAGAATGGGGCGGGGTGATGGAAAGCGGGAGAAACGGGCGGGGTGATGGAAAGCGGGAGAATGGGGCGAGGTGATGGAAAGCGGGAGAATGGGGTGGGGTGATCGAAGGAGGGAGAATGGGGCAGGGTGATGGAAAGCGGGAGAATGGGGCGAGATGATGGGAAGCGGGAAAATGGGGCGCGGTAATGGAAAGCGGGAGAATGGGGCGTGGTGATGGAAAGCGGGAGAATGGGCGTGTGATGGAAAGCGGGAGAATGGGGCGGGGTGATGGAAAGCGGGAGAATGGGGCGAGGTGATGGAAAGCGGGAGAATGGGGCGGGGTGATGGAAAGCGGGAGAATGGGGCGGGGTGTTGGAAAGCGGGAAAATGGGGCGGGGTGATGGAAAGCGGGAGAATGGGGCTGGGTGATGGAAAGCGGGTGAATGGGGCGGGGTGATGGAAAGCGTGAGAATGGGGCGAGGTGATGGAAAGCGGGAGAATGGGGCGAGGTGATGGAGAGCGGGAGAATGGGGCTGGGTGATGGAAGGAGGGAGAATGGGGAGGGGTGACGGAAAGGAGGGAAATGGGGCGGGATGATGGGAAGCGGGAGAATGGGGCGGGGTGATGGAAAGCGGGAGAATGGGGCGGGGTTATGGAAAGCGGGAGAATGGGGCGGGGAGATGGAAAGCGGGAGAATGGGGCGGGGTGATGGAAAGCGGGAGAATGGGGCGGGCTGATGGAAAGCGGGAGAATGGGGCGGGGTGATGGAAGGAGGGAGAATGGGGCGGGGTGATGGAAGGAGGAAGAAGGGGGCGGGCTGATGGAAACCGGGAGAATGGGGCGGGGTGATGGAAAGCGGGAGAATGGGGCGGGGTGATGGAAAGCGGGAGAATGGGGCGGGCTGATGGAAAGCGGGAGAATGGGGCGGGGTGATGGAAGGAGGGAGAATGGGGCGGGGTGATGGAAGGAGGGAGAATGGGGCGGGGTGATGGAAAGAGGGAGAATAGGGCGGGGTGATGGAAAGCGGGGGAATGGGGAGGGATGATGGAAAGCGGGAGAATGGGGCGGGGTGACGGAAAGAGGGAGAATGGGGCAGGGTGACGGAAATCGAGAGAATTGGGCGGGGTGATGGAAAGTGGGAGAATGGGTCGGGGTGATGGAAAGCGGGAGAATGGGGCGGGGTGATGGAAGGAGAGAGAATGGGGCGGAGTGATGGAAAGCGGGAGAATGGGGTGGGGTGATAGAAAGTGGGAGAATGGGGCGGGGTGATGGAAAGAGGGAGAATGGGAAGGGGTGAAGGAAAGCGGGAGAATGGGGCGGAGTGATGGAAAGCGGGAGAATGGGGTGGGGTGATGGAAAGCGGGTGAATGGGGCGGTGTGATGGAAAGCGGGAGACTGGGGTGGGGTGATGGAAAGCGGGAGAATGGGGCGGGGTGATGGAAAGCGGGAGAATGGGGTAGGGTGATGGAAAGCGAGAGAATGGGGCGGGGTGATGGAAAGCGGGAGAATAGGGCGGGGTGATGGAAAGCGGGAGAATGGGGCGAGGTGATGGAAAGCGGGAGAATGGGGTGGGGTGATGGAAGGAGGGAGAATGGGGCAGGGTGATGGAAAGCGGGAGAATGGGGCGAGATGATGGGAAGCGGGAAAATGGGGCGCGGTAATGGAAAGCGGGAGAATGGGGCGTGGTGATGGAAAGCGGGAGAATGGGCGTGTGATGGAAAGCGGGAGAATGGGGCGGGGTGATGGAAAGCGGGAGAATGGGGCGAGGTGATGGAAAGCGGGAGAATGGGGCGGGGTGATGGAAAGCGGGAGAATGGGGCGGGTGATGGAAATTGGGAGAATAGGGCGGGGTGATGGATGGAGGGAGAATGGGGCTGGGTCATGAAAGGAGGGAGAATGGGGCGGGGTGATGGAAAGCAGGAGAATGGGGAGGGGTGATGGAAAACGGGAGAATGGTGCGGGGTGATGGAGAGCAGGAGAATGGGGCGGGGTGATGGAAAGCGGGAGAATGGGGTGGGGTGATGGAAGAAGGGAGAATCTGGCAGGGTGGTGGAAAGCGGGAGAATGGGGCAGGTTGATGGAAAACGGGAGAATGGGGCAGGGTGATGGAAAGCGGGAGAATGGGGCGAGGTGATGGAAAGCGGGAGAATGGGGCGGGGTGATGGAAAGCGGGAGAATGGGGCGGGGTGATGGAAGGAGGGAGAATGGGGACGGGTGATAGAAAGCGGGAGAATGGGGCGGGTTGATGGGAATCGGGAGAATGAGGCGGGGTGATGGAAAGCGGGAGAATGGAGCGGCTGATGGAAAGCTGGAGAATGGGGCGGGGTGAGAGAAAGCGGGAGAATGGGACGGGGTGATGGAAAGCGGGAATATGGGGTGGGGTGATGGAAAGCGGGAGAATGGGGTGGGGTGATGGAGAGCGGGAGAATGGGGCGGGGTGATGGAAAGCGGGAGAATGGGGCGGGTTAGGGAAAGCGGGAGAATGGGGCGGGGTTATGGAAAGCGGGGGAATTAGGCGGGCTGATGGAAAGCGGGAAAATGGGGCGGGATGATGGAAGGAGGGAGAATGGGGCGGGGTGATGGAAGGAGGGAGAATGGGGCAGGGTGATGGAAGGAGGGAGAATGGGGCGGGCTGCTGGAAAGTGGGAGAATGTTGCTGGGTGATGGAAAGCGAGAGAATGGGGCGGGGCTATGGACAGCGGGAGAATGGGGCGGGGTGATGGAAAGCGGGGGAATTAGGCGGGCTGATGGAAAGCGGGAAAATGGGGCGGGATGATGGAAGGAGGGAGAATGGGGCGGGGTGATGGAAGGAGGGAGAATGGGGCGAGCTGATGGAAAGTGGGAGAATGTGGCTGGGTGATGGAAAGCGGGAGAATGGGGCGGGGTTATGGAAAGCGGGAGAATGGGGCGGGGTGATGGAAAGCGGGAGAATGAGGCGGGGTGATGGAAGGAGGGAGAATGGGGCGGGGTGATGGAAAGCGGGAGAATGGGGCAGGGTGATGGAAAGCGGGAGAATGGGCCGTGGTGATGGGAAGTGGGAGAATGGAGCAGGGTGATGGAAAGCGGCAGAATGGGGCGGGGTGATCGAAAGCGGGAGAACGGGGCGGGGTGATGGAAAGCGGGAGAATGGGGCGGGGTGATGGAAAGCGGGAGAATGGGGTGGGGTGATGGAAAGTGGGAGAATGGGGCGGGGTGATGGAAGGAGGGAGATTGGGGCGGGGTGATGGAAGCAAGGAGAATGGGGCGAGGTGATGGAAAGCAGGAGAATGGGGCGGGGTGATGGAAAACGGGAAAATGGGGCGGGTGATGGAAAACGGGAGAATGGGGCAGGGTGATTGAAAGCGAAAGAATGGTTCGGGGTGATGGAAGGAGGGAGAATGGGGCGGGGTGATGGAAGGTGGGAGGATGGGTTGGGGTGATGGAAAGCGGGAGAATGGGGCGGGGTGATGGAAAGCGGGAGAATGGGGCGGGGTGGTGGAAAGCGGAAGAATAGGGCGGGGTGATGGAAAACAGGAGAATGAAGCGAGGTGATGGAAAACGGGAAAATAGGGCGGGGTGATGGAAAGCAGGAGAATGGGGCAGGGTGATGGAAGGCAGGAGAATGGGGCGGGGTGATGGAAGGAGGGAGAATGGGGTGGGGTGATGGAAAGAGGGAGATTGAGGCAGGGTGATGGAAAGCGGGAAAATGGGGCGGGGTGATGGAAAGCGGGAGAATGGGGCAGGGTGATGGAAGGAAAGAGAATGGGGTGGGGTGATGGAAGGAGGGAGAATGGGGCGGGGTGATGGAAGGCGGGAGAATGGTGCGGGGTGATGGAAGGAGGGAAAATGAAGCGGGGTGATGGAAGGAGGGAGAATGGGGCGGGGTGATGGAAAGCAGGAGAATGGGGCGGGGTGATAGAAAGCGGGAGAATGGGGCGGGGTGATGGTTGCGGAAGAATGGGGCGGGGTCATGGAAAGCAGGAGAATGGGGCGGGGTGATGGAAGGAGGGAGAATGGGGTGGGGAGATGGAAAGCGGGAGAATGGGGCGGGGTGATGGAAAGAGGGAGAATGGGGCGGGGTGATGGAAAGCGGGAGAATGGGGCGGGGTGATGGAAAGCAGGAGAATGGGGCGGGGTGATGGAAAGAGGGAGAATGGGGCGGGGTGATGGAAAGTGGGAGAATGGGGCGGGGTGATGGAAAGTGGGAGAATGGGGCGGGGTGATGCAAGCGGGAGAATGGGGCGGGGTGATGGAAAGCGGGAGAATGGGGCGGGGTGATGGAAGGAGGGAGAATGGGGCGGGGTGATGGAAAGCGGGAGAATGGGGCGGGGTGATGGAAAGCGGGAGAATGGGGCGGGAGAATGGGGCGGGGTGATGGAAAGCAGGAGAATCGGGTGGGGTGATGGGGGAGAATGGGGCGCGGTGATGGAAAGCGGGAGAATGGGGCGGGGTGATGGAAAGCGGTAGAATGGGGCGGGGTGATGGAAAGCGGGAGAATGGGGCGGGGTGATGGAAAGCGGGAGAATGGGGCGGGGTGATGGAAAGAGGGAGAATGGGGCGGGGTGATGGAAGGAGGGAGAATGGGGTGGGGTGATGGAAAGTGGGAGAATGGGGCGGGGTGATGGAAAGCGGGAGAATGGGGCGGGGTGATGGTAAGAGGGAGAATGGGGCAGGGAGAAGGAAAGAGGGAGAATGGGGCGGGGTGATAGAAAGGGGGAGAATGGGGCGGGGTGATGGAAAGCGGGAGAATGGAGCGTGGTGATGAAAAGCGGGAGAATGGGGCGGGGTGATGGGAAGCGGGAGAATGGGGCGGGGTGATCGAAAGCGGGAGAATGGGGCGGGGTGATGGAAAGCGGGAGAATGGGGCAGGGTGAAGGAATGTGGAGAATGGGCGGGGTGATGGAAAGCTAGAGAATGGGGCGGGGTGATGGAAAGCGGGAGAATGGGGCGGGGTGATGGAAGGAGGGAGAATGGGGCGGGGTGATGGAAGGAGGGAGAATGGGGCGGGGTGATGGAAAGCAGGAGAATGGGGAGGGGTGATGGAAAACAGGAGAATGGTGCGGGGTGATGGAGAGCAGGAGAATGGGGCGGGGTGATGGAAAGCGGGAGAATGGGGTGGGGTGATGGAAGGAGGGAGAATCTGGCAGGGTGGTGGAAAGCGGGAGAATGGGGCAGGGCGATGGAATGCGGGAGAATGGGGCCGGGTGATGGAAAGCGGGAGCATGGGGCGGGGTGATGGAAAGCAGGAGAATGGGGCGGGGTGATGGAAAGCGGAGAATGGGCGGGGTGATGGAAAGCTCGAGAATGGGGCGGGGTGATGGAAAGCGGGAGAATGGGGCGGGGTGATGGAAAGCGGGAGAATGGGGCGGGGTGATGGAAAGAGCCAGAATGGGGCAGGGAGATGGAAAGAGGGATAATGGGGTGGGGTGATAGAAAGGGGGAGAATGGGGCGGGGTGATGGAAAGCGGGAGAATGGGGCGTGGTGATGGAAAGCGGGAGAATGGGGCGGGGTGATGGAATGAGGGAGAATGGGGCGGGGTGATGGAAGGAGGGAGATTGGGGCGGGGTAATGGAAAGCGGGAGAATGGGGCGGGGTGATGGAAGGAGGGAGAATGGGGCGGGGTGATGGAAAGCGGGAGAATGGGGCGGGGTGATGGAAGGAGGGAGAATGGGGCGGGGTGATGGAAAGCGGGATTCTCCCTCCTTCCATCACCCCACCCCATTCTCCCGCTTTCCATCACCCCGCCCCATTCTCCTGCTCTCCATCACCCCGCACCATTCTCCCTCTTCCATCACCCCGCCCCATTCTTCCGCTTTCCATCACCCCGCCCCATTCTCCCTCCTTCCATCACCCCGCCCCATTCTCCCGCTTTCCATCACCCCGCCCCATTCTCCCGCTTTCCATCACCCCGCCCCATTCTCCAGCTTTCCATCACCCCGCCCATTCTCCACATTCCTTCACCCTGCCCCATTCTCCCGCTTTCCATCACCCTGCCCCATTCTCCCGCTTTCCATCACCCCGCCCCATTCTCCCGCTTCCCATCACCCCGCCCCATTCTCCCGCTTTTCATCACCACGCTCCATTCTCCCGCTTTCCATCACCCCGCCCCATTCTCCCCCTTTCTATCACCCCGCCCCATTCTCCCTCTTTCCTTCTCCCTGCCCCATTCTCCCTCTTACCATCACCCCGCCCCATTCTCCCGCTTTCCATCACCCCGCCCCATTCTCCCACTTTCCATCACCCCGCCCCATTCTCCCTCCTTCCATCACCCCGCCCCATTCTCCCTCTTTCCATCACTCCTCCCCATTCTCCCGCTTTCCATCACCCCGCCCCATTCTCCCGCTTTCCATCACCCCGCCCCATTCTACCGCTTTCCATCACCCCGCCCCATTCTCCCGCTTTCCATCACCGCGCCCCATTCTCCCCCATCACCCCACCCCATTCTCCTGCTTTCCATCACCCCGCCCCATTCTCCCGCCCCATTCTCCCGCTTTCCATCACCCCGCCCCATTCTCCCGCTTTCCATCACCCCGCCCCATTCTCCCTCCTTCCATCACCCCGCCCCATTCTCCCGCTTTCCATCACCCCGCCCCATTCTCCCGCTTTGCATCACCCCGCCCCATTCTCGCACTTTCCATCACCCCGCCCCATTCTCCCGCTTTCCATCACCCCGCCCCATTCTCCCTCTTTCCATCACCCCGCCCCATTCTCCTGCTTTCCATCACCCCGCCCCATTCTCCCGCTTTCCATCACCCCGCCCCATTCTCCCTCTTTCCATCACCCCGCCCCATTCTCCCGCTTTCCATCTCCCCACTCCATTCTCCCTCCTTCCATCACCCCGCCCCATTCTCCTGCTTTCCATGACCCCGCCCCATTCTTCCGCAACCATCACCCCGCCCCATATTCCCGCTTTCTATCACCCCGCCCCATTCTCCTGCTTTCCATCACCCCGCCCCATTCTCCCTCCTTCCATCACACCGCTTCATTTTCCCTCCTTCCATCACCCCGCACCATTCTCCCGCCTTCCATCACCCCGCCCCATTCTCCCTCCTTCCATCACCCCACCCCATTCTCTTTCCTTCCATCACCCTGCCCCATTCTCCCGCTTTCCATCACCCCGCCCCAATTTCCCGCTTTCCATCACCCTACCTCAATCTCCCTCTTTCCATCACCCCACCCCATTCTCCCTCCTTCCATTACCCCGCCCCATTCTCCTGCCTTCCATCACCCTGCCCCATTCTCCCGCTTTCAATCACCCCGCCCTATTTTCCCGTTTTCCATCACCTCGCTTCATTCTCCTGTTTTCCATCACCCCGCCCTATTCTTCCGCTTTCCACCACCTCGCCCCATTCTCCCTCTTCCATCACCCCGCCCCATTCTCCCGCTTTCCATCACCCCACCCCATCCTCCCACCTTCCATCACCCCGCCCCATTCTCCCTCCTTCCATCACCCCGAACCATTCTTTCGCTTTCCATCACCCGCCCCATTTTCCCGTTTTCCATCACCCCGCCCCATTCTCCTGCTTTCCATCACCTCGCCCCATTCTCCTTGCTTCCATCACCCCGCCCCAATCTCCCTCCTTCCATCACCCCGCCCCATTCTCCCGCTTTCCATCACCCCACCCCATTCTCCCGCTTTCCATCACCCCGCCCCATTCTCCCGTTTTCCATCACCCCGCCCCGTTCTCCCGCTTTCGATCACCCCACCCCATTCTCCCGCTTTCCATCACCCTGCCCCATTCTCCCACTTCCCATCACCCCGGCCCATTCTCCCGCTTTCCATCACTCCGCCCCATTCTCCCGCTTTCCATCACCCCGCCCCATTCTCCCTCCTTCCATCACCCCACCTCATTCCCCCGCTTTCCATCACCCCGCCCCATTCTCCCGCTTTCCATAACCCCGCCCCATTCTCCCGCTTTCCATCACCCAGCCACATTCTCCCACTTTCCATCAGCTCGCCCCATTCTCCCTCCTTCCATCACCCCGCCCCATTCTCCCTCCTTCCATCATCCCGCCCCATTTTCCCGCTTTCCATCAGCCCGCCTAATTCCCCCGCTTTCCATCACCCCGCCCCATTCTCCTGCTTTCCATAACCCCGCCCCATTCTCCTGCTTTCCATCACCCAGCCACATTCTCCCACTTTCCAGCAGCCTGCCCATTCTCCCTCCTTCCATCGCCCTGCCCCATTCTCCCTCCTTCCATCACCCCGCCCCATTCTCCCTCCTTCCATCATCCCGCCCCATTTTCCCGCTTTCCATCAGCCCGCCTAATTCCCCTGCTTTCCATCACCCCGCCCCATTCTCCCGCTTTCCATAACCCGCCCCATTCTCCCGCTTTCCATCACCCCGCCCCATTCTCCCGCTCTCCATCACCCCACCCCATTCTCCCGCTTTCCATCACCCCACCCCATATTCCCGCTTTCCATCACCCCGTCCCATTCTCCCGCTTTCTCTCACCCCGCCCCATTCTCCAGCTTTCCATCAGCCGCTCCATTCTCCCGCTTTCCATCACCCCGCCTCATTCTCCCGATTCCCATCAACCCGCCCCATTCTCCCGCTTTCTATCACCCGTCCCCATTCTCCCTCCTTCCATCACCCCGCCCCATTCTCCCGCTTTCCATCACCCCGCCCCATTCTCCCGCTTTCCATCACCTCGCCCCATTCTCCCGCTTTCCATCACCCTGCCCCATTCTCCCGTTTTCCATCAACCTGCCCCATTCTCCCGCTTTCCACCACCCAGCCAGATTCTCCCTCCTTCCATCACCCCACCCCATTCTCCCGCTTTCCATCACCCCGCCCCATTCTCCTGCTCTTCATCACCCCGCACCATTCTCCCGTTTTCCATCACCCCTCCCCATTCTCCTGCTTTCCATCACCCCGCCCCATTCTCCCTCCTTCCATCACCCCGCCCCATTCTCCCTCCTTCCATCACCCCGCCCCATTCTCCCGCTTTCCATCAGCCCGCCCCATTCTCCCGCTTTCCATCACCCTGCCCCATTCTCCCGCTTTCCATCACCCCGCCCCATTCTCCCGGTTTCCATCACCCCGCCCCCTTCTTCCTCCTTCCATCACCCCGCCCCATTCTCCCTCCTTCCATCACCCCGCCCCATTCTCCCGCTTTCCAACAGCCCGCCCCATTCTCCCGCTTTCCATCACCCCGCCCCATTCTCCCGCTTTCCATCTCCCCGCCCCGTTCTCCCGCTTTCCATAACCCCGCCCCATTCTCCCGCTTTCCATCACCCCGCCCCATTCTCCCGCTTCCCATCATCCCGCCCCATTTCCCTCCTTTCCGTCACCCCTACCCATTCTCCCTCCTTCCATCACCCCGCCCCATTCTCCCGCTCTCCATCACCTCGCCCCATTCTCCCGCTTTCCATCACCTCGCCCCATTCTCACGCTTTCCATCACCCCGCCCCATTCACCCGCTTTCCATCACCCAGCCCCATTCTCCCGCTTTCCATCACCCAGCCCCATTTTCCCCCTTTCCATCACCCCGCCCCATTCTCCCGCTTTCCATCACCCCGCCCCATTCTCCCGCTTTCCATCACATCGCCCCATTCTCCCGCTTTCCATCACCCCGCCCTATTCTCCCGCTTTCCATCACACGCCCATTCTCCCGCTTTCCATCACCACGCCCCATTCTCCCGCTTTCCATTACCGCGCCCCATTTTCCCGCTTCCCATCATCTCGCCCCATTCTCCCGCTTTCCATCACCCTGCCCCATTCTCCCTCCTTTGATCACCCCACCCTATTCTCCCGCTTTCCATCACCTCGCCCCATTCTCCCGCTTTCCATCACCCCGCCCTTTTCTCCCGCTTTCCATCACCCCGCCCCATTCTCCCGCTTTCCATCACCCCGCCCCATTCTCCCGCTTTCCATCACCCCGCCCCATTCTCCCACTTTCCATCACCCCACCCCAGTCTCCCGCTTTCCATCACTCCGCCCCATTCTCCCGCTTTCCATCACCCCGCCCCATTCACCCGCTTTCCATCACCCCACCCCATTCTCCCGCTTTCCATCACTCCGCCCCATTCTCCCGCTTTCCTTCACCCCTTCCCATTCTCCCTCTTCCCATCACCCCGCCCCATTCTCCAACTTTCTATCACCCCACCCCATTCTCCCGCTTTCCATCACTCCGCCCCATTCTCCCTCCTTCCATCACCCCGCCCCATTCTCCCGCTTTCCATCACCCCGCCCCCTTCTCCCACTTTCCATCACCCCGCCCAATTCTCTCGATTTCCGTCACCCTGCCCCATTCTCCCTCTTTCCGTCACCCCGCCCCATTCTCCCGCTTTCTATCATCCCGCCCCATTCCCCCGCTTTCCATCACCCCGCTCTATTCTCCCAATTTCCATTACCCCGCCCCATTCTCCCTCCTTCCATCACCCCGCCCCATTCTCCCGCTTTCCATCACCTCGCCCCATTCTCCCGCTTTCCATCACCCCGCCCTTTTCTCCCGCTTTCCATCACCCCGCCCCATTCTCCCGCTTTCCATCAGCCCGCCCCATTCTCCCGCTTTCCATCACCCCGCCCCATTCTCCCGCTTTCCATCACCCCGCCCCATTCTCCCGGTTTCCATCACCCCGCCCCCTTCTCCCTCCTTCCATCACCCCGCCCCATTCTCCCTCCTTCCATCACCCCGCCCCATTCTCCCGCTTTCCATCAGCCCGCCCCATTCTCCCGCTTTCCATCACCCCGCCCCATTCTCCCGCTTTCCATCTCCCCGCCCCATTCTCCCGCTTTCCATAACCCCGCCCCATTCACCCGCTTTCCATCACCCCGCCCCATTCTCCCGCTTCCCATCATCCCGCCCCATTTCCCTCCTTTCCGTCACCCCTCCCCATTCTCCCTCCTTCCATCACCCAGCCCCATTCTCCCGCTCTCCATCACCTCGCCCCATTCTCCCGCTTTCCATCACCTCGCCCCATTCTCACGCTTTCCATCACCCCGCCCCATTCACCCGCTTTCCATCACCCAGCCCCATTCTCCCGCCTTCCATCACCTCGCTCCATTCTCCCGCTTTCCATCACCCCGCCCCATTCTCCCGCTTTCCATCACCCCGCCCCATTCTCCCGCTTTCCATCACCCCGCCCCATTCTCCCTCCTTCCATCACCCCGCCCCATTCTCCCGCTTTCCATCACCCCGCCCCATTCTCCCTCCTTCCATCACCCCGCCCAATTCTCCCTCCTCCCATCACCCTGCCCCATTCTCCCGCTTTCCATCACCCTGCCCCATTCTCCCGCCTCCCATAACCCCACCCCATTCTCCCGCTTTCCATCACGCCGCCACATTCTCCCACTTTCCATCACCCCGCCCCCTTCTCTCTCCTTCCATCACGCTGCCCCATTCTCCCGCTTTCCATCACCCCACCCCATTTTCCCGTTTTCCATCACCCCGCCCCATTCTTCTGCTTTCCATCACCCCGCCCCATTCTCCCGCTTTCCACCACCCCGCCCCATTCTCCCGCTTTCCATCACCCCGCCCCATTCTCCCGCTTTCCATCACCCCACCCCATCCTCCCACCTTCTATCACCCCGCCTCATTCTCCCTCCTTCCATCACCCCGCCCCATTCTCCCGCTTTCCATCACCTCGCCCCATTCTCCCGCTTTCCATCACCCCGCCCCATTCCCCTGCTTTCCATCACCCCGCCCCATTCTCCTGCTTTCCATCACCCCGCCCCGTTCTCCCGCTTTCCATCACCCCGCCCAATTCTCCCGCTTTCCATCACACGCCCATTCTTCCGCTTTCCATCACCACGCCCCATTCTCCCGCTTTCCATTACCGCGCCCCATTTTCCCGCTTCCCATCATCTCGCCCCATTCTCCCGCTTTCCATCACCTCGCCCCATTCTCCCGCTTTCCATCACCCCGCCCTTTTCTCCCGCTTTCCATCACCCCGCCCCATTCTCCCGCTTTCCATCACCCCGCCCCATTCTCCCGCTTTCCATCACCCCGCCCCATTCTCCCACTTTCCATCACCCCACCCCAGTCTCCCGCTTTCCATCACCCCGCCTCATTCACCCGCTTTCCATCACCCCACCCCATTCTCCCGCTTTCCATCACTCCGCCCCATTCTCCTGTGAGAATAAGCGAACAGGAATGGATCAACTAGAAGTGAAAAGAGTACAAGTAGTAAACCCTAGAATTGTGTACCCCCTATAGGCTAACCCACTGTAGCCTAAACAAGTATAACATATATAATGTTTGACACACCCCCATAGGCAAAGTGGGGGAGAACAAGGGGTCACAAGACCAGTCAAGTAAAGCAAAGCAAGCTCAGAGTGGATCACAAAGTCACCACACAGTCCGAGCACAAGATCAGGGCCAGAGGCCAGTTCACATGCAGGAGTACAGACATATATATAAAACTAGACAAGCAAGAGCAGGTATATATATATGTCACAGTACAAGTAAAGTCAAGAGGAGAGCAAGTGAGGCAAGACAGACACAAGACCCAGCTGGGTGCAAAAGCGCTGATGATCACAAGGCGCGAGTGCCTTGGTGAACACATCAGCAGTGTTGGCCTCAGAGGCCACGTACGCAAGTCGCAACTGACCACGCTGCTGCAGCTCACGAGCAAGGAAGTAGCGGAGAGCAATGTGCTTCGTTCTGTGCTCCAAGCGCTGCTCTCGACAACAAGGCCAGCATGGCCTTGTTGTCTACGTACAGCACTGGAGGAGAACGAGGCGGCTCTCCAAGGTCAGTCAGCAGGTAGGTGAGCCAGCGAAGCTCCTGTGCAGCCATGGCCCCGGCGTAGATCTCAGCCTCACAACTGGAGCCGAGAACCGAAGACGAGCGAGTAGACCGCCACGAGACAGAGCCGGAACCAAGGCTGAAGGTGTAACCCTGTGACGACCGCTGCGTAGCCTGGTCGTCAGCCCAAGAAGCGTCCGCGTGGCCGGTAAGGACCACTGGACTCCGCCCTCCAAGCACAAGCCCCATGCCCGACGTACTGCACAGGTAGCGCAATACCCTCTTCGCTGCAGCCATGTGCTCTGGTCTGTGTCTCCCAGGAGCAACATAGCGTGCAAGAATGCTCAGAGGATATGCAAGGTCAGGTCGTGTGCAGGTCATCAGGTACATGAGGCAGCCAACAAGCTCTGCATACGGACCACTCGACTCTACGGACTCATCCGAAGGCAGAGCTGAGAGTGAGTGGCGAGTAGGCAGAGGAGTGGCCTGAGGCGAGGAGTACGTGAAGCCGAAGCGCTGAAGGACCTGCTGCACCATGTGTGACTGAGTCAAGGTAATGGTGCGGCGTGCTCTGTCCCGAGTGATCTGCAAGCCAAGGTAGCTGCGCAGTTCACCCAGGTCTGTGCACGTGTGTCTCTTCAGCAGTTCGGACTTCACGTAGGCGAGTCCAGCAGTGTCCGCTGTGGCAAAGACCAAGTCGTCGACGTACACGAGGATGTAGAACGGCGGCAGTGAAGTGTCGGTGCGCAGAAACAGCGACGCGTCAGCAGTAGAAGGAGCAAACCCAAGAGCCGCAAGCGTAGTCCTCAGTGTGTCGTGCCACTCACGCGGTGCCTGGCGGAGACCGTAGACTGGCCGTCGGAGGCTCCACTGGGTGCCAGGAGGGAAAGTCCCAGTGAAGCCAGGTGGACGGCGCAGCCAGATCTCCTCGTGCAGGCTACCCTGCAGGAACGCAGTGCTGAAGTCGAGAGAGTGAAGCTCGTAGTCGCGCTGAGCGGCTATGTGCAGCAGCACCCGAAGAGTGGTCATCTTCGGGGTGGGAGAGAAGGTCTGAAAGTAGTCAACTCCCTGCCGCTGACTGAAGCCACGAGCAACGTACCGCGCCTTGAAGACAGGTGGAGAGCCCGGCGGCCGCTTCACCCGGAAGATCCACATGCCACTGACGATGTTCGCCCCAGGAGGGGGAACTGCGTCAACGTAGGTGCCTGTGGACTTCCAGGAAGCCATCTCTGCATCCATAGCTGCCTGCCACTGAGAGGAGTAGGGACCCTCTACGGCCTCCGCGTAAGAACGCGGAGTCGGGATGTCTAGTGCATCCGGGTCTCCCTCAGGGGCAAGCAGTACAGACGCGAGATGAGGTGAAGCAGCCGCTAGACACTGTAACTCCTCTTGTCTGTCCTCTAGGACGTCCGTGCCAAGAGCACACTCACCCCCGACGGACGGAGGACAGACAGACGCAGACTCAGCAACAAGACCAGCAGCGTAGTCGAGACGACAGCGAGCAGCAAAGTCAACGAGCTCAGCGACTAGAGCAGACGCAGCAGTGGACTCAAAAGAGGGGTCAGTGACGACAGTAGCAAGCAGACGCGTGACAGTAGGACTGGCAGCACGAAGAGAGTCCGACTCAGGGTCGGCAAGCGCAGGAAGAGAGGACTCAGGAGGAGGAGGCAAAGGGGTACGCAGAGGAGCAGTGGACGGACGCAGAGACATCCGGTGCGTGCCAGGGACAGGAGGAGGACGCTGACGCGAACCGCGACCACTAGCGCGAGCAGCACGAACAGGCGACGCGGGACGAGACGCAGGCTCACGACGCTCAGCAAGACCTCCAGTAGGACCAGTGTAAGGAGAGGGAGCAGGCAGAGGAGAGGAAGGCTCCAACAGTGACTGCGACTGGACAGGCTGTGGACACTCTACCGAAGGAGAAAGACCAAGAACCTGCTGTAGGAGCGGAACGAAGTACGGCCGAGGCCGCGCGGCAGCTCCAGACTCAGCAGGGACAGCACCAGCACCCTCAGCGACAGCACCAGCGCCACCCACACCTCTAGCGGCAGGACCAACAGCAGTAGGCTCAGCACGAACGCCCTCAGCACCTCCAGCTCCAGGAGGACCCGCAGGTCCAGCAGCTCCGGGACCGGCAGCACCCGCACCCTCGACGGTCGAAGAAGCTCCAGCTCCAGCTCCAGCAGCACCTCCAGACTCAGCAGCACGCCTCCAGCGGCGAGCGTACCACTCGCGCAGCTCCTGTGGAGAGAGGGGCTCCCGGCGAGACGCAGCAGCAGGAGAAACCCCAGGCTCAGCAGCTCCAGACGCAGCAGGGACAGCACCAGCACCCTCAGCTACAGCACCAGCGCCACCCACACCTCCAGCGGCAGGACCAACAGCAGTAGGCTCAGCACCAACGCCCTCAGCAGCTCCAGCTCCAGGAGGACCCGCAGGTCCAGTAGCTCCGCGACCGGCAGCACCCGCACCCTCGACGGTCGAAGAAGCTCCAGCTCCAGCTCCAGCAGCACCTCCAGACTCAGCAGCACGCCTCCAGCGGCGAGCGAACCACTCGCGCAGCTCCTGTGGAGAGAGGGGCTCCCGGCGAGACGCAGCAGCAGGAGAAACCCCAGGCTCAGCAGCTCCAGACGCAGCACCCCCAGGCTCAGCAGCTCCCGACCCAGCACCCCCAGACCCATCACCTCCAGGCACAGCACCCCCCGGCTCAGCACCCCCAGGCTCCGCACCCTCCGCAGTAGCACCCGCAGGCCCAGTACCCCCAGTAGTAGCACCCCCAGGCTCAGCACCCCCGCGCACAGCACCCCCAGAGTCAGCACCCCCAGGCTCAGCACCCGCAGCAGCACCAGAGTCACCTGTAACCTCGACCGGGACAACGGCGTCTACCTGGGACACACCTGAGGGGGCAGGAACCTGAGGGGGGAGGGGGTCTACCGGGGGGGGAACCGGTACAAGGAAGTCCGGGGGAGGGGGGAGGGAAGGAGTGCGGTAGGGGAAGAGACGGTAGAAGGGGACTGACTCGTCGAACGTGACGTCCTGGGAGGACAGAACACGACGAGAGGAGGGGTGGTAAAACTGCCACCCTAGGGCGTCAGTGGGGAAGCCAAGGAAGCCACAGGGAGCAGCACGAGGGGACAGCTTGTCCGCAGACAAGTCGCGGACAAACGCCCGAGATCCCCAGACACGGAACACAGACGCATCGCCAACCTTCCCTGTCCACAGGAAGGCCGGGGACATCGCAGGCCGAGAGACCCGGGGGTGAAGGTTGATCTGATGCGCCGCGTACCTCACCGCAAACGGCCACAGAAAGTGGGGGGCAGCCGCATGCATCATGGACGTACGAGCGACATCCATGACCATGCCAATGCGGCGCTCAGCAATCCCATTTTGCTGTGGTGAGTCCGGAAGCGTGAAGGACTGGCGGATGCCTCGCGCACGACAGTAGGCACGCAGAAGGCCAGAGGAGAACTCTCCGCCTCTGTCCGAGTGCAGACGCAGAACAGGAAAGTCCGAGCCGAAGCTCTTCCTGAGCTGGAGACGAGCCTCGCGGATCCAGTCGATCAGCACCTCAGTGACCTCACCCTTGCTGCGCAAGGGGAGGACTGTGGTGTAACGCGAGTAGTCGTCAACCACCAACAGGAAGTAGCGCTCGTAACCCTGCCCACGGACGGGGGCTGGGCCCCACACATCCATGTGAAGCGTCTGCAGGGGAGCCTCTGTCGGGGGGAAGTGGGAGGAGTGAGGAGTAGCCCGGAGGCGACCCTCGACACAGGGGACACAGGAAGGTCCTGGCCCGGAGGGGAGAGGAGGGAGAGACTGGGGAAGACCAGAGACAAGGACACGGGAAGCCATGCTCCGAAGACGGGGCAAGGAGGGGTGGCCAAGACGGTGGTGCCACAGGAGAGTCTCGTGAGACAGGAGGCGACAAGTACAGGGGGCAGACTCAGGACCAGACCTGGACGCAGCAGCAAACACCTGACCCGACGCTGCTACCTGACCGGACGCGGGGACAGGAGGAGACTCAGTGGTCAGGGTGTAGAGGCTCAACCCCGGCCGACGCGAGAACGTGGCCAGGTGCCGGCCTGTGCGTGCGTCCGTGCAGTGGGTCACCCGCTGACTCGCAGGAGTGAACTGGTGAACCCCCGCATCCTGTAGGTCTGCACCACTCACCAAGTTCGTCGAGAACGAGGGGAGGTACAGGCCAGACAGGGTGCCCGAGGGGGCTCATTCTCCCTCCTTCCATCACCCCGCCCCATTCTCCCGCTTTCCATCACCCCGACCCATTCTCCCACTTTCCATCACCCCGCCCAATTCTCTCGATTTCCGTCACCCTGCCCCATTCTCCCTCTTTCCGTTACCCCGCCCCATTCTCCCGCTTTCTATCATCCCGCCCCATTCCCCCGCTTTCCATCACCCCGCCCTATTCTCCCAATTTCCATCACCCCGCCCCATTCTCCCTCCTTCCATCACCCCGCCCCATTCTCCCGCTTTCCATCACCTCGCCCCATTCTCCCGCTTTCCATCACCCCGCCCTTTTCTCCCGCTTTCCATCACCCCGCCCCGTTCTCCCGCTTTCCATCAGCCCGCCCCATTCTCCCGCTTTCCATCACCCCGCCCCATTCTCCCGCTTTCCATCAGCCCGCCCCATTCTCCCGGTTTCCATCACCCCGCCCCCTTCTCCCTCCTTCCATCACCCCGCCCCATTCTCCCTCCTTCCATCACCCCGCCCCATTCTCCCGCTTTCCATCAGCCCGCCCCATTCTCCCGCTTTCCATCACCCCGCCCCATTCTCCCGCTTTCCATCTCCCCGCCCCATTCTCCCGCTTTCCATATCCCCGCCCCATTCTCCCGCTTTCCATCACCCCGCCCCATTCTCCCGCTTCCCATCATCCCGCCCCATTTCCCTCCTTTCCGTCACCCCTCCCCATTCTCCCTCCTTCCATCACCCAGCCCCATTCTCCCGCTCTCCATCACCTCGCCCCATTCTCCCGCTTTCCATCACCTCGCCCCATTCTCACGCTTTCCATCACCCCGCCCCATTCACCCGCTTTCCATCACCCCGCCCCATTCTCCCGCTTTCCATCACCCCGCCCCATTCTCCCGCTTTCCATAACCCCGCCCCATTCTCCCGCTTTCCATCACCCCACCCCACTCCCGCTTTCCATCACCCCGCCCCATTCTCCCGCTTTCCATCACCCCGCCCCATTCTCCCGCTTTCCATCACTCCACTCCATTCTCCCGCTTTCCATCACCCCGCCCCATTCTCCCGCTTTCCATCACCCCGCCCCATTCTCCCTCCTTCCATCACCCCGCCTCATTCTCCCTCCTTCCATCACCCCGCCCCATTCTCCCGCTTTCCATCACCCCACCCCATTCTCCCGCTTCCCATCACCCCGCCCCATTCTCCCGCTTCCCATCTCCCCGCCCCATTTTCCCACTTTACATCACCCCGCCCCCTTCTCTCTCCTTCCATCACCCCCCCCATTCTCCCTCCTTCCATCGCCCCGCCCCATTCTCCCGCTTTCCATCAGCCCGCCCCATTCTCCCGCTTTCCATCACCCCTCCCCTTTCTTCCGCTTTCCATCTCCCCGCCCCATTCTCCCGCTTTCCATCACCCCGCCCCATTCTCCTGCTTTCCATCACCCCGCCCCATTCTTCCGCTTCCCATCATCCCGCCCCATTCCCCCGCTTTCCATCACCCCTCCCCATTCTCCCTCCTTCCATCACCCCGCCCCATTCTCTCGCTTTCCATCACCCCGCCCCATTCTCCCGCTTTCCATCACCCCGCCCCATTCTCCCACTTTCCATCACTTCTCCCCATTATCCCTCCTTCCATCACCCCGCCCCATTCTCCCTCCTTCCATCACCCCGCCCCATTCTCCCGCTTTCCATCACCCCGCCTCATTCTCCCGCTTCCCATAACCCCACCCCATTCTTCCGCTTTCCATCACCCCGCCACATTCTCCCACTTTCCATCACCCCGCCCCCTTCTCTCTCCTTCCATCACCCCGCCCCATTCTCCCTCCTTCCATCACCCCGCCCCATTCTCCCGCTTTCCATCAGCCCGCCCCATTCTCCCGCTTTCCATCACCCCTCCCCTTTCTCCCGCTTTCCATCTCCCCACCCCATTCTCCCGCTTTCCATCACCCTGCCCCATTCTCCCGCTTTCCATCACCCCGCCCCATTCTTCCGCTTCCCATCATCCCGCCCCATTCCCCCGCTTTCCATCACCCCTCCCCATTCTCCCTCCTTCCATCACCCCGCCCCATTCTCTAGCTTTCCATCACCCCGCCCCATTCTCCCGCTTTCCATCACGCCGCCCCATTCTCCCGCTTTCCATCACCCCGCCCCATTCTCCCTCCTTCCATCACCCCGCCCCATTCTCCCGCTTTCCATCACCCCGCCCCATTCTCCCGCTTCCCATAACCCCTCCCCATTCTCCCACTTTCCATCACCCCGCCACATTTTCCCACTTTACATCACCCCGCCCCCTTCTCTCTCCTTCCATCACCCCCCCCCATTCTCCCTCCTTCCATCGCCCCGCCCCATTCTCCCGCTTTCCATCAGCCCGCCCCATTCTCCCGCTTTCCATCACCCCTCCCCTTTCTCCCGCTTTCCATCTCCCCGCCCCATTCTCCCGCTTTCCATCACCCCGCCCCATTCTCCGGCTTTCCATCACCCCGCCCCATTCTTCCCTTCCCATCATCCCGCCCCATTCCCCCGCTTTCCATCACCCCTCCCCATTCTCCCTCCTTCCATCACCACGCCCCATTCTCTCGCTTTCCATCACCCCGCCCCATTCTCCCGCTTTCCATCACCCCGCCCCATTCTCCCGCTTTCCAACACCCCGCCCCATTCTCTCGCTTTCCATCACCCCACCCCATTCTCCCGCTTTCCATCACCCGCCCCATTCTCCCGCTTTCCATCACCCTGCCCCCTTCTCCCTCCTTCCATCACCCCGCCCCATTCTCCCTCCTTCCATCACCCCGCCCCATTCTCCCGCTTTCCATCACCTCGCCCCATTCTCCCGCTTTCCATCACCCCGCCCCATTCTCCCGCTTTCCATCACCCCGCCCCATTCTCCCGCTTTCCATCACCCCGCAACATTCTCCCTCCTTCCATCACCCCGCCCAATTCTCCTGCTTTCCATCACCCCGCCCCATTCTGCCTCCTTCCATCACCCCGCCCCATTCTCCCTCCTTCCATCACCCCGCCCCATTCTCCTGCTTTCCATAACCCCGCCCCATTCTCCCGCTTCCCATAACCCCACCTCATTCTCCCGCTTTCCATCACCCCGCCCCATTCTCCCGATTTCCATCACCCCGCCCCATTCTCCCGCTTTCCATCACCCCGCCCCATTCTCCCGCTTTCCATCACCCCGCCCCATTCTCCCGCTTTCCATCATCCCGCCCCATTCTCCCTCCTTCCATCACCCCGCCCCATTCTCCCGCTTTCCATCACTCCGCCCCATTCTCCCTCCTTCCATCACCCCGCCCCATTCTCCCTCCTTCCATCACCCCGCCCCATTCTCCCGCTTTCAATCACCCCGCCCCATTCTCCCGCTTCCCATAACCCCACCCCATTCTCCCGCTTTCCATCACCCCGCCACATTCTCCCACTTTCCATCACCCCGCCCCCTTCTCTCTCCTTCCATCACCCCGCCCCATTCTCCCTCCTTCCATCACCCCGCCCCATTCTCCCGCTTTTCATCAGCCCGCCCCATTCTCCCGCTTTCCACCACCCCTCCCCTTTCTCCCGCTTTCCATCTCCCTGCCCCATTCTCCCGATTTCCATCACCCCGCCCCATTCTCCCGCTTTCCATCACCCCGCCCCATTCTTCTGCTACCCATCATCCTTACCCATTCCCCCGCTTTCCATCACCCCGCCCCATTCTCCCGCTTTCCATCACGCCGCCCCATTCTCCCGCTTTCCATCACCCCGCCCCATTCTCCCTCCTTCCATCACCCCGCCCCATTCTCCCGCTTTCCATTACCCCGCCCCAATCTCCCTCCTTCCATCACCCCGCCCCATTCTCCCTCATTCCATCACCCCGCCCCATTCTCCCGCTTTCCATCACCACGCCCCATTCTCCCGCTTCCCATAACCCCACCCCATTCTCCCGCTTTCCATCACCCCGCCACATTTTCCCATTTTCCATCACCCCGCCCCCTTCTCTCTCCTTCCATCACCCCGCCCTATTCTCCCTCCTTCCATCACCTCGCCCCATTCTCCCGCTTTCCATCAGCCCGCCCCATTCTCCCGCTTTCCATCACCCCGCCCCTTTCTCCCGCTTTCCATCTCCCCGCCCCATTCTCCCGCTTCCCATAACCCCACCCCATTCTCCCGCTTTCCATCACCCCGCCACATTCTCCCACTTTCCATCACCCCGCCCCCTTCTCTCTCCTTCCATCACCCCGCCCCATTCTCCCTCCTTCCATCACCCCGCCCCATTCTCCCGCTTTTCATCAGCCCGCCCCATTCTCCCGCTTTCCACCACCCCTCCCCTTTCTCCCGCTTTCCATCTCCCTGCCCCATTCTCCCGCTTTCCATCACCCCGCCCCATTCTCCCGCTTTCCATCACCCCGCCCCATTCTTCTGCTACCCATCATCCTTACCCATTCCCCCGCTTTCCATCACCCCTCCCCATTCTCCCTCCTTCCATCACCCCGCCCCATTCTCTCGCTTTCCATCACCCCGCCCCATTCTCCCGCTTTCCATCACCCCGCCCCATTCTCCCGCTTTCCATCACCCCGCCCCATTCTCCCTCCTTCCATCACCCCGCCCCATTCTCCCGCTTTCCATTACCCCGCCCCAATCTCCCTCCTTCCATCACCCCGCCCCATTCTCCCTCATTCCATCACCCCGCCCCATTCTCCCGCTTTCCATCACCACGCCCCATTCTCCCGCTTCCCATAACCCCACCCCATTCTCCCGCTTTCCATCACCCCGCCACATTTTCCCATTTTCCATCACCCCGCCCCCTTCTCTCTCCTTCCATCACCCCGCCCTATTCTCCCTCCTTCCATCACCCCGCCCCATTCTCCCGCTTTCCATCAGCCCGCCCCATTCTCCCGCTTTCCATCACCCCGCCCCTTTCTCCCGCTTTCCATCTCCCCGCCCCATTCTCCCGCTTTCCATCACCCCGACCCATTCTCCCGCTTTCCATCACCTCGCCCCATTCTTCCGCTTCCCGTCATCCCGCCCCATTCCCCCGCTTTCCATCACCCCTCCCCATTCTCCCTCCTTCCATCACCCCGCCCCATTCTCTCGCTTTCCATCACCCCGCCCCATTCTCCCGCTTTCCATCACCCCGCCCCATTCTCCCGCTTTCCATCACCCCGCCCCATTCTTCCTCCTTCCATCACCCCGCCCCATTCTCCCGCTTTCCATCACCCCGCCCCATTCTCCCGCTTCCCATAACCCCACCTCATTCTCCCGCTTTCCATCACCCCGCCCCATTCTCCCGATTTCCAGCACCCCGCCCCATTCTCCCGCTTTCCATCACCCCGCCCTATTCTCCCGCTTTCCATCATCCCGCCCCATTCTCCCTCCTTCCATCACCCCGCCCCATTCTCCCGCTTTCCATCATTCCGCCCCATTCTCCCTCCTTCCATCACCCCGCCCCATTCTCCCTCCTTCCATCACCCCGCCCCATTCTCCCGCTTTCCATCACCCCGCCCCATTCTCCCGCTTCCTATAACCCCACCCCATTCTCCTGCTTTCCATCACCCCGCCACATTCTCCCACTTTCCATCACCCCGCCCCCTTCTCTCTCCTTCCATCACCCCGCCCCATTCTCCCTCCTTCCATCACCCCGCCCCATTCTCCCGCTTTCCATCAGCCCGCCCCATTCTCTCGCTTTCAATCACCCCTCCCCTTTCTCCCGCTTTCCATCTCCCTGCCCTATTCTCCCGCTTTCCATCACCCCGCCCCATTCTCCCGCTTTCCATCACCCCGCCCCATTCTTCCGCTACCCATCATCCTGACCCATTCCCCCGCTTTCCATCACCCCTCCCCATTCTCCCTCCTTCCATCACCCCGCCCCATTCTCTCGCTTTCCATCACCCCGCCCCATTCTCCCGCTTTCCATCACCCCGCCCCATTCTCCCGCTTTCCATCACCCCGCCCCATTCTCCCTCCTTCCATCACCCCGCCCCATTCACCCGCTTTCCATTACCCCGCCCCAATCTCCCTCCTTCCATCACCCCGCCCCATTCTCCCTCATTCCATCACCCCGCCCCATTCTCCCGCTTTCCATCACCACGCCCCATTCTCCCGCTTCCCATAACCCCACCCCATTCTCCCGCTTTCCATCACCCCGCCACATTTTCCCACTTTCCATCACCCCGCCCCCTTCTCTCTCCTTCCATCACCCCACCCGATTCTCCCTCCTTCCATCACCCCGCCCCATTCTCCCGTTTTCCATCAGCCCGCCCCATTCTCCCGCTTTCCATCACCCCGCCCCTTTCTCCCGCTTTCCATCTCCCCGCCCCATTCTCCCGCTTTCCATCACCCCGCCCCATTCTCCCGCTTTCCATCACCCCGCCCCATTCTTCCGCTTCCCATCATCACGCCCCATTCCCCCGCTTTCCATCACCCCTCCCCATTCTCCCTCCTTCCATCACCCCGCCCCATTCTCTCGCTTTCCATCACCTCGCCCCATTCTCCCGCTTTCCATCACCCCGCCCCATTCTCCCGCTTTCCATCACCCCGCCCCATTCTTCCTCCTTCCATCACCCCGCCCCATTCTCCCACTTTCCATCACCCCGCCCCATTCTCCCTCCTTCCATCACCCCGCCCCATTCTCCCTCATTCCATCACCCCGCCCTATTCTCCCGCTTTCCATCACCCCGCCCCATTCTCCCGCTTCCCATAACCCCACCCCATTCTCCCGCTTTCCATCACCCCGCCACATTTTCCCACTTTCCATCACCCCGCCCCCTTCTCTCTCCTTCCATCACCCCGCCCCATTCTCCCTCCTTCCATCACCCCGCCCCATTCTCCCGCTTTTCAGCAGCCCGCCCCATTCTCCCGCTTTCCATCACCCCTCCCCTTTCTCCCGCTTTCCATCTCCCCGCCCCATTCTCCCGCTTTCCATCACCCCGCCCCATTCTCCCGCTTTCCATCACCCCGCCCCATTCTCCCGCTTTCCATCACCCCGCTCCATTCTCCCGCTTTCCATCACCCCGCCCCATTCTCCCGCTTCCCATAACCCCACCCCATTCTCCCGCTTTCCATCACCCCGCCACATTTTCCCACTTTCCATCACCCCGCCCCCTTCTCTCTCCTTCCATCACCCCGCCCCATTCTCCCTCCTTCCATCACCCCGCCCCATTCTCCCGCTTTTCAGCAGCCCGCCCCATTCTCCCGCTTTCCATCACCCCGCCCCATTCTCCCACTTTCCATCACCCCGCCCCATTCTCCCGCTTTCCATCACCCCGCTCCATTCTCCCGCTTTCCATCACCCCGCCCCATTCTCCCGCTTCCCATAACCCCACCCCATTCTCCTGCTTTCCATCACCCCGCCACATTCTCCCACTTTCCATCACCCCGCCCCCTTCTCTCTCCTTCCATCACCCCGCCTTATTCTCCCGCCTTCCATCACCCCGTCCCATTCTCCCGCTTTCCATCAGCCCGCCCCATTCTCCCGCTTTCCATCACCCCTCCCCTTTCTCCCGCTTTCCATCTCCCCGCCCCATTCTCCCGCTTTCCATCACCCCGCCCCATTCTCCCGCTTTCCATCACCCCGCCCCATTCTTCCGCTTCCCATCATCCCGCCCCATTCCCCCGCTTTCCATCACCCCTCCCCATTCTCCCTCCTTCCATCACCCCGCCCCATTCTCTCGCTTTCCATCACCCCACCCCATTCTCCCGCTTTCCATCACCCCGCCCCATTCTCCCTCCTTCCATCACCCCGCCCCATTCTCCCGCTTTCCATCATTCCGCCCCATTCTCCCTCCTTCCATCACCCCGCCCCATTCTCCCTCCTTCCATCACCCCGCCCCATTCTCCCGCTTTCCATCACCCCGCCCCATTCTCCCGCTTCCTATAATCCCACCCCATTCTCCCGCTTTCCATAACCCCACCCCATTCTCCCGCTTTCTATCACCCCGCCACATTTTCCCACTTTCCATCACCCCGCCCCCTTGTTTCTCCTTCCATCACCCCGCCCCATTCTCCCTCCTTCCATCACCCCGCCCCATTCTCCCTCCTTCCATCACCCCGCCCCATTCTCCCGCTTTCCATCAGCCAGCCCCATTCGCCCGCTGTCCATCACCCCGCCCCTTTCTCCCGCTTTCCATCACCCCGCCCCATTCTCCCGCTTTCCATCACCCCGCCCCATTCTCCCGCTTTCCATCACCCCGCCCCATTCTCCCGCTTTCCATCACTCCGCCCCATTCTCCCGCTTTCCATCACCCCGACCCATTCTCCCACTTTCCATCACCCCGCCCCATTCTCCCTCCTTCCATCACCCCGCCTCATTCTCCCTCCTTCCATCACCCTGCCCCATTCTCCCGCTTTCCATCACCCCGCCCCATTCTCCCGCTTTCCATCACCCCGCCCCATTCTTCCTCCTTCCATCACCCCGCCCCATTCTCCCGCTTTCCATCACCCCGCCCCATTCTCCCTCCTTCCATCACCCCGCCCCATTCTCCCTCATTCCATCACCCCGCCCCATTCTCCCGCTTTCCATCACCCCGCCCCATTCTACCGCTTCCCATAACCCCACCCCATTTTCCCGCTTTCCATCACCCCGCCACATTTTCCCACTTTCCATCACCCCGCCCCCTTGTTTCTCCTTCCATCACCCCGCCCCATTCTCCCTCCTTCCATCACCCCGCCCCATTCTCCCTCCTTCCATCACCCCGCCGCATTCTCCCGCTTTCCATCAGCCAGCCCCATTCTCCCGCTGTCCATCACCCCGCCCCTTTCTCCCGCTTTCCATCACCCCGCCCCATTCTCCCGCTTTCCATCACCCCGCCCCATTCTCCCGCTTTCCATCACCCTGCCCCATTCTCCCGCTTTCCATCACTCCGCCCCATTCTCCCGCTTTCCATCACCCCGACCCATTCTCCCACTTTCCATCACCCCGCCCCATTCTCCCTCCTTCCATCACCCCGCCTCATTCTCCCTCCTTCCATCACCCCGCCCCATTCTCCCGCTTTCCATCACCCCGCCCCATTCTCCCGCTTTCCATCACTAAGCCCCATTCTCCCGCTTTCCATCGACCGCCCCATTTTTCCGCTTTCCATCACCCCGCCCCATTCTCCCGCTTTCCAATCACCCTGCCCCAATCTCCCGCTTTCCATCACCCCGCCCCATTCTCCCTCCTTCCATCACCCCGCCCCATTCTCCCGCTTTCCATCACCCCGCCCCATTCTCCCGCTTTCCATCACCCAGCCCCATTCTCCCGCTTTCCATCACCCCGCCCCATTCTCCCGCTTTCCATCACCCCGCCCCATTCTCCCGCTTTCCATCACCCCGCCCCATTCTCCCTCCTTCCATCACCCCGCCCCATTCTCCCGCTTTCCATCACCCCGCCCCATTCTCCCTCCTTCCATCACCCCGCCCCATTCTCCATCCTTCCATCACCCCGCCCCATTCTCCTGCTTTCCATCACCCCGCCCCAGTCTCCCGCTTCCCATAACCCCACCCCATTCTCCCGCTTTCCATCACCCCACCACATTTTCCCGCTTTCTATCACCCCGCCCCATTCTCCCTCCTTCCATCACCCCGCCCCATTCTCCCTCCTTCCATCACCCCGCCCCATTCTCCCGCTTTCCATCACTAAGCCCCATTCTCCCGATTTCCGTCACCCCGCCCCATTCTCCCGCTTTCCATCACCCCGCCCCATTCTCCCGCTTTCCATCATCCCGCCCCATTCTCCCTCCTTCCATCACCCCGCCCCATTCTCCCGCTTTCCATCTCTCCGCCCCATTCTCCCTCCTTCCATCACCCCGCCCCATTCTCCCTCCTTCCATCACCCCGCCCCATTCTCCCGCTTTCCATCACCCCGCCCCATTCTCCCGCTTCCCATAACCCCACCCCATTCTCCCGCTTTCCATCACCCCGCCACATTCTCCCACTTTCCATCACCCCGCCCCCTTCTCTCTCCTTCCATCACCCCGCCCCATTCTACCTCCTTCCATCACCCCGCCCCATTCTCCCGCTTTCCATCACCCTGCCCCATTCACCCGCTTTCCAATCACCCGCCCCATTCTCCCGCTTTCCATCACCCCGCCCGATTCTCCCGCTTTCCATCACCCCGCCACATTTCTCCACTTTCCATCACCCCGCCCCCTTCTTTCTCCTTCCATAAACCCGCCCCATTCTCCCTCCTTCCATCACCCCGCCCCATTCTCCCTCCTTCCATCACCCCGCCCCATTCTTCCGCTTTCCATCAGCCAGCCCCTTTCTCCCGCTTTCCATCACCCCGCCCCATTCTCCCGCTTTCCATCACCCCGCCCCATTCTCCCGCTTTCCATCACCCCGCCCCATTCTCCCGCTTTCCATCACTCCGCCCCATTCTCCCGCTTTCCATCACCCCGACCCATTCTCCCACTTTCCATCACCCCGCCCCATTCTCCCTCCTTCCATCACCCCGCCCCATTCTCCCTCCTTCCATCATCCCGCCCCATTCTCCCACTTTCCATCACCCGCCCCATTCTCCCGCTTTCCATCACCTCGCCCATTCTCCCGCTTTCCATCACCCCGCCCCATTCTCCCGCTTTCCATCACCCTGCCCCATTCACCCGCTTTCCAATCACCCGCCCCATTCTCCCGCTTTCCATCACCCCGCCCCATTCTCCCACTTTCCATCACCCCGCCACATTTTCCCACTTTCCATCACCCCGCCCCCTTCTTTCTCCTTCCATCACCCCGCCCCATTCTCCCTCCTTCCATCACCCCGCCCCATTCTCCCTCCTTCCATCACCCCGCCCCATTCTTCCGCTTTCCATCAGCCAGCCCCATTCTCCCGCTGTCCATCACCCCGCCCCTTTCTCCCGCTTTCCATCACCCCGCCCCATTCTCCCGCTTTCCATCACCCCGCCCCGTTCTCCCGCTTTCCATCACCCCGCCCCATTCTCCCGCTTTCCATCACTCCGCCCCATTCTCCCGCTTTCCATCACCCCGACCCATTCTCCCACTTTCCATCACCCTGCCCCATTCTCCCTCCTTCCATCACCCCGCCTCATTCTCCCTCCTTCCATCACCCCGCCCCATTCTCCCGCTTTCCATCACCCCGCCCCATTCTCCCGCTTTCCATCACTAAGCCCCATTCTCCCGCTTTCCATCACCCGCCCCATTTTTCCGCTTTCCATCACCCCGCCCCATTCTCCCACTTTCCATCACCCTGCCCCAATCTCCCGCTTTCCATCACCCCACCCCATTCTCCCGCTTTCCATCACCCTGCCCCATTCTCCCGCTTTTCATCACCCCGCCCCATTCTTCCGCTTTCCATCACCCCGCCCCATTCTCCCGCTTTCGATCACCCCGCCCCATTCTCCCGCTTTCCATCACCCCGCCCCATTCTTCCGCTTCCCATCATCCCGCCCCATTCCCCCGCTTTCCATCACCCCTCCCCATTCTCCCTCTTTCCATCACCCCACCCCATTCTCCCGCTTTCCATCACCCCGCCCCATTCTCCCGCTTTCCATCACCCCGCCCCATTCTCCCGCTTTCCATCACTCCGCCCCATTCTCCCACTTTCCATCACCCCGACCCATTCTCCCACTTTCCATCACCCCGCCCCATTCTCCCTCCTTCCATCACCCCGCCCCATTCTCCCTCCTTCCATCACCCCGCCCCATTCTCCCGCTTTCCATCACCCCGCCCCATTCTCCCGCTTTCCATCACCCCGCTCCATTCTCCCGCTTTCCATCACCCCGCCCCATTCTCCCGCTTCCCATAACCCCACTCCATTTTCCCGCTTTCCATCACCCCGCCACATTTTCCCACTTTCCATCACCCCGCCCCCTTCTCTCTCCTTCCATCACCCCGCACCATTCTCCCTCCTTCCATCACCCCGCCCCATTCTTCCGCTTTCCATCAGCCCGCCCCATTCTCCCGCTTTCCATCACCCCGCCCATTTCTCCCGCTTTCCATCTCCCCGCCCCATTCTCCCGCTTTCCATCACACCGCCTCATTCTCCCGCTTTCCATCACCCAGCCCAATTCTTCCGCTTCCCATCATCCCGCCCCATTCCCCCGCTTTCCATCACCCCTCCCCATTCTCCCTCCTTCCATCACCCCGCCCCATTCTCCCACTTTCCATCACCCGCCCCATTCTCCCGCTTTCCATCACCTCGCCCCATTCTCCCGCTTTCCATCACCCCGCCCCATTCTTCTGCTTTCCATCACCCCGCCCCATTCTCCCGCTTTCCATCACCCTGCCCCATTCACCCGCTTTCCATCACCCGCCCCATTCTCCCGCTTTCCATCACCCCGCCCCATTCTCCCGCTTTCCATCACCCCGCCCAATTCTCCCGCTTCTCATCACCCCGCCCCATTCTCCCGCTTTCCAACACCCCAGCCCATTCTCTCGCTTTCCATCACCCCGCCCCTTTCTTCCTCCTTCCATCACCCCGCCTTATTCTCCCTCCTTCCTTCACCCCGCCCCATTCTCCCGCTTTCCATCACCCTGCCCCATTCTCCCGCTTTCCATCAACCCCGCCCCATTCTCCCGCTTTTCCATCACCCCGCCCCATTCTCCCTCCTTCCATCACCCCGCCCCATTCTCCCGCTTTCCATCACCCCGCCCCATTCTCCCGCTTTCCATCACCCCGCCCCATTCTCCCATCACCCCGCCCCATTCTCCCGCTTTCCATCACCACGCCCCATTCTCCCGCTTTCCATCACCCTGCCCCATTCTCCCGCTTTCCATCACCCCGCCTCATTCTCCCGCTTCCCATCATCCCGGCCCATTCCCCCGCTTTCCATCACCTCTCCCTCCTTCCATCACCCCGCCCCATTCTCCCGCTTTCTATCACCCGTCCCCATTCTCCCTCCTTCCATCACCCCGCCCCATTCTCCCGCTTTCCATCACCCCGCCCCATTCTCCCGCTTTCCATCACCTCGCCCCATTCTCCCGTTTTTTATCACCCCGCCCCATTCTCCCGCTTTCCATCACCCCGCCCGATTCTCCCTCCTTCCATCACCCCACACCATTCTCCCGCTTTCCATCACCCCGCCCCATTCTCCTGCTTTCCATCACCCCTCCCCATTCTCCCGCTTTCCATCACCCCGCCCCATTCTCCCGCTTTCCATCACCCCGCCCCATTCTCCCGCTTTCCATCACCCCGCCCCATTCTCCCGCTTTCCCTCACCCCGCCCCATTCTCCAGCTTTCCATCACCCCGCCCCATTCTCCCGCTTCCCATCAACCCGCCCCATTCTCCCGCTTTCTATCACCCGTCCCCATTCTTCCTCCTTCCATCACCCCGCCCCATTCTCCCGCTTTCCATCACCCCGCCCCATTCTCCCGCTTTCCATCACCTTGCCCCATTCTCCCACTTTTTATCACCCCGCCCCATTCTCCCGCTTTCCATCGCCCCGCCCGATTCTCCCTCCTTCCATCACCCCACACCATTCTCCTGCATTCTATCACCCCGCCCCATTCTCCTGCTTTCCATCACCCCGCCCCATTCTCTTGCTTACTATCAACCCGCCCCATTCTCCCGCTTTCTATCATCCGTCCCCATTCTCCCTCCTTCCATCACCCCGCCCCATTCTCCCGCTTTCCATCACCTCGCCCCATTCTCCCGCTTTTTATCACCCCGCCCCATTCTCCCGCTTTTCATCAGCCCGCCCGATTCTCCCTCCTTCCATCACCCCACACCATTCTCCCGCTTTCCATCACCCCGCCCCATTCTCCTGCTTTCCATCACCCCTCCCCATTCTCCCGCTTTCCATCACCCCGCCCCATTCTCCCGCTTTCCATCACCCTGCCCCATTCTCCCGCTTTCCCTCACCCCGCCCCATTCTCCAGCTTTCCCTCATCGCGCCCCATTCTCCCGCTTCCCATCAACCCGCCCCATTCTCCCGCTTTCTATCACCCGTCCCCATTCTCCCTCCTTCCATCACCCCGCCCCATTCTCCCGCTTTCCATCACCCCGCCCCATTCTCCCGCTTTCCATCACCTCGCCCCATTCTCCCGCTTTTTATCACCCCGCCCCATTCTCCCGCTTTCCATCGCCCCGCCCCATTCTCCCTCTTTCCATCACCCCGCCCCATTCTCCCTCTTTCCATTACCCCACCCTATTCTCCTGCTTTCCATCACCCCGCCCCATTCTCCCTCTTTCCATCACCCCGCCCCATTCTCCCGCTTTCTATCACCCCACCCCATTCTCCCGCTTTCCATCACCCCGCCCCATTCTCCCTCTTTCCATCACCCCGCCCCATTCTCCCGCCTTTCATCACCCCGCCCCATTCTCCCCCTTTCCATCACCCCGCCCAATTCTCCCGCTTTCCATCACCCCGCCCCATTCCCGCCTTCCATCACCCCGCCCCATTCTACCTCTTTCCATCACCCCGCCCCATTCTCACGCTTTCCATCACCCTGACCCATTTTCCTTCTTTCCATCACAACGCCCCATTCTCCCGCTTTCCATCACCCCGCCCCATTCTCCCTCTATCCATCACCCCGCCCAATTCTCCCACTTTCCATCACCCCGTCCCATTCTCCCGTTTTCCATCACCTCGCCCCATTCTCTCGCTTTCCATCACCCCGCCTTATTCTCCCGCTTTCCATCACCTCGCCCCATTCTCCCGATTTCCATCTCCCCGCCCCATTCTCCCGCTTTCCATCACCCCGCCCCATTCTCCCACTTTCCATCACCCCGCCCCATTCTCCCGCTTTCCAACACCCCGACCCATTCTCCCGCTTTCCATCACCCCGCACCATTCTCCCTCTTTCCATCACCCCGCCCCATTCTCCCTCTTTCCATCACCCTGCCCCATAATCCCGCTTTCCATCACCCCGCGCCATTTTCCCTCTTTCCATCACCCCACCCCATTCTCCCGCTTTCCATCACCCTGCCCCATTCTCCCGCTTTCCATCACCCCGCTCCATTGTCCCGCTTTCAATCACCCCGCCCGATTCTCCCTCTTTCCATCACCCCTCCCCATTCTCCCTCTTTCCATCACCCCGCCCCATTCTCCCGCTTTCCATCACCCTGCCCCGTTCTCCCTCTTTCCATCACCCCGCCCCATTCTCCCTCTTTCCATTACCCCGCCCCATTCTCCTGCTTTCCATCACCCCGCCCCATTCTCCCTCTTTCCATCACCCCGCCCCATTCTCCCGCTTTCTATCACCCCACCCCATTCTCCCGCTTTCCATCACCCCGTCCCGTTCTCCCTCTTTCCATCACCCCGCCCCATTCTCCCGCCTTTCTATCACCCCGCCCCATTCTCCCGCCTTCCATCACCCCGCCCCATTCTCTCTCTTTCCATCACCCCGCCCCATTCTCACGCTTTCCATCACCCCGCCCCATTCTCCCTCTATACATCACCCCGCCCAATTCTCCCACTTTCCATCACCTCGTCCCATTCTCCCATTTTCCATCACCCCGCCCCAGTCTCTCGCTTTCCATCACCCTGCCTTATTCTCCCGCTTTCCATCACCCCGCCCCATTCTCCCGATTTCTATCACCCCGCCCCATTCTCCCACTTTCCATCACCTCGCCCCATTCTCCCGCTTTCCATCACCCCGCCCCATTCTCCCGCTTTCCAACACCTCGCCCCATTCTCCCGCTTTCCATCACCCCGCCCCATTCTCACTCTTTCCATCACCCCGCCCCATTCTCCCTCTTTCCATCACCCCGCCCCATTCTCCTGCTTTCCATCACCCCGCCCCATTCTCCCTCTTTCCATAACCCCACCCCATTCTCCCGCTTTCCACAACCCCGCCCCATTCTCCCGCTTTCCATCACCCCGCCCCATTCTCCCTCTTTCCATCACCCCGCCTCGTTCTCCCGCTTTCCATCACCCCGCCCCATTCTCCCGCTTTCCATCACCTCGCCCCATTCTCCCGCTTTCAATCACCCCGCCCCATTCTCCCGCTTTCCATCACCCCGCCCCATTCTCCCACTTTCCATCACCCGCCCCATTCTCCCTCTTTCCATCACCCAGCCCCATTCTCCCGCTTTCCATCACCCCGCCCCATTCTACCGCTTTCCATCATCCCGCTCCATTGTCCCGCTTTCCATCACCCCGCCCAATTCTCCCTCTTTCCATCACCCCTCCCCATTCTCCCTTTTTCCATAACCCCGCCCCATTCTCCCGCTTTCCATCACCCCGCCCCATTCTACCGCTTTCTATCACCCCGCCCCATTCTCCCTCTTTCCATCACCCCGCCCCATTCTCCCTCTTTCCATAACCCCGCCCCATTCTCCCGCTTTCCATCACCCCGTCCCATTCTCCCTCTTTCCATCACCCCGCCCCGTTCTTCTGCTTTCCATCACCCCGCCCCATTCTCCCGCTTTCCATCACCCCGCCCCATTCTCCTGCTTTCCATCACCCCGCCCCATTCTCCCTCTTTCCATCACCCCCGCCCCATTCTCCCTCTTTCCATCACCCCGCCCCATTCTCCCGATTTCCGTCACCCCGCCCCATTCTTCCTCTTTCCATCACCCCGCCCCATTCTTCCTCTTTCCATCTCCCCGCCCCATTCTCCCTCTTTCCATCACCCAGCCCCATTCTCCCTCTTTCCATCACCCCGCCCCATTCTTCCTCTTTCCATCACCCCGCCCCATTCTCCCAATTTCCGTCACCCCGCCCCATTCTCCCTCTTTTCATAACCCCGCCCCATTCTCCCGATTTTTACCACCCCGCCCCATTCTCACGCTTTCCATCACCCCGCCCCATTCTCCCTCTTTCCATCACCCGCCCCATTCTCCTGCTTTCCATCATCCCGCCCCATTCTCCCTCCTTTTATCACCCCGCCCCATTCCCCCTCTATCCATCACCCCGCCCCATTCTCCCTCTATCCATCACCCCGCCCAATTTTCCCACTCTCCATCACCCCGCCCCATTCTCTCGCTTTCCATCACCCTGCCTTATTCTCCCGCTTTCCATCACCTCGCCCCATTCTCCCGATTTCCATCACCCCGCCCCGTTCTCCCGCTTTCCATCACCTCGCCCCATTCTCCCGCTTTCCATCACCACGCCCCATTCTCCTGCTTTCCAACACCTCGCCCCATTCTCCCGCTTTCCATCACCCCGCCCCATTCTCACTCTTTCCATCACCCGCCCCATTCTCCCTCTTTCCATCACCCCGCCCCATTCTCCCTTTTTCCTTCACCCCGCCCCATTCTCCCGCTTTCCATCACCCCGCCCCATTCTCCCTCTTTCCATAACCCCGCCCCATTCACCCGCTTTCCATCACCCCACCCCATTCTCCCTCTTTCCATCACCCCGCCCCGTTCTCCCGCTTTCCATCACCCCGCCCCATTCTCCTGCTTTCCATCACACTGCCCCATTCTCCTGCTTTCCATCACCCCGCCCCATTCTCCCAATTTCCATCACCCCGCCCCATTCTCCCGCTTTCCATCACCCCGCCCCATTCTCCCGCTTTCTATCACCCCGCCCCATTCTCCCGCTTTCCACCACCCCGCCCCATTCTCCTACTTTCCATCACCCCGCCCCATTCTCCCTCTTTCCATCACCCCGCCCCATTCTCCCTCTTTCCATCACCCCGCCCCATTCTCCCTCTTTCCTTCACCCCGCCCCATTCTCCCGCTTTCCATCACCCCGCCCCATTCTCCCTCTTTCCATAACCCCGCCCCATTCACCCGCTTTCCATCACCCCGCCCCATTCTCCCTCTTTCCATCACCCGGCCCCGTTCTCCCGCTTTCCATCACCCCGCCCCATTCTCCCGCTTTCCATCACCTCGCCCCATTCTCCTGCTTTCCATCACCCTGCCCCATTCTCCCTCTTTCCATCACCCCGCCCCATCCTCCCGCTTTCCATCACCCCGCCCATTCTCCCGCTTTCCATCACCCCGCCCCATTCTCCCACTTTCCATCACCCCGTCCCATTATCCCTCTTTCCATCACCCCACCCCATTCTCCCGCTTTCCATCACCCCGCCCCATTCTTCCTCTTTCCATCTTCCCGCCCCATTCTCCCTCTTTCCATCACCCCGCCCCATTCTCCCTCGTTCCATCACCCCGCCCCATTTCCCCTCTTTCCATCACCCCGCCCCGTTCTCCCTCTTTCCATCTTCCCGCCCCATTCTCCCGATTTCCGTCACCCCGCCCCATTCTCCCTCTTTCCATCACCCCGCCCCATTCTCCCTCTTTCCATCACCCCGACCCATTCTCCCGCTTTCCATCACCCCGCCCCATTCTCCCTCTTTCCATCACCCCGCCCCATTCTCCCGCTTTCCATCACCCCGCCCCATTCTCCCGCTTTCCATCACCCCGCCCCATTCTACCGCTTTCCATCACCCCGTCCCATTATCCCTCTTTCCATCACCCCGCCCCATTCTCCCGCTTTCCATCACCCCGCCCCATGAACATGGACGTGGACATGGACGTGGACGTGGAGGTGGACATGGACGTGGACGTGGACGTGGACGTGGACATGGACGTGGACATGGACGTGGACAAGGACGTGGACGTGGACGTGGACATGGACGTGGACGTGGACGTAGACGTGGACATGGACGAGGACGTGCACGTGGACGTGGACGTGGACATGGACGTGGGACGTGGACATGGACGTGGACGTGGACGTGGACGTGGACATGGACGTGGTCGTGGACGTGGACGTGGACATGGACGTGGACGTGGACGAAGACGTGGACGTGGACATGGACGTGGACATGGACGTGGGACGTGGACATGGACGTGGACATGGACCGTGGACGTGGACGTGGACATGGACGTGGACGTGGACGTGGACGTGGACATGGACGTGGACGTGGACGTGGACGTGGACGTGGACATGGACATGGACATGGACGTGGACTTGGACGTGGACATGGACGTGGACGTGGACGAAAGACGTGGTCGACGACATGGACGTGGACGTGGACGTGGACATGGACGAGGACATGGACGTGGACCTGGACGTGGACGTGGACAGGGACGTGGACGTGGACATGGACATGGACGTGGACGTGGACGTGGACGTGGACGTGGAGGTGGACGTGGACGTGGACGTGGACATGGACGGGACGTGGACGTGGACATGGACGTGGACATGGACGTGGACGTGGACGTGGAGCGTGGACATGGAAGTGGACGTGGACGTGGACGTGGAACGATGGACCGTGGACATGGACGTGCACGTGGACGTGGACGTGGACATGGACGTGCACGGTGGACGGGACGTGGACTTGGACGTGGACGTGGGACGTGGACATGGACGTGAGACGTGGACGTGGACGTGGACGTGGACTTGGACGTGGACATGGACATGGACTTGGACGTGGACATGGACATGGACGTGGACGTGGACGTGGACATGGACGTGACGTGGAGGTGGACATGGACGTGGACGTGGACGTGGACATGGACCATGAACGTGGACGTGGGACGTGGACGTGGACGTGGACCATGGACATGGACGTGGACGTGGACGTGGACATGGACGTGGACGTGGACGTGGACGTGGACATGGACGTGGACGTGGACGTTGACGGGACATGGTCTTTGACGTGGACGTGGACGTGGACTGGGACATGGACGTGGACGTGGACGTGGACGTGGACATGAACGTGGACGTGGACGGTGGACATGGACATGGACGTGGACGTGGACGTGGACATGGACGTGGACGTGGACGTTGACCGTGGACATGGTCTTGACGTGGACGTGGACGTAGACGTGGACATGGACGTGGACGTGGACGTGGGACGTGGACATGGACGTGGACCTGGACGTGGACGTGCACGTGGACGTGGACGTGGGACATGGACGTGGACGTGGACCGTGGACATGGACGTGGACGTGGACGTGGACGTGGACGTGGGACGTGGGACGTGGACGTGGACGTGGACATGGACGTGGACGTGGACGTGGACATGGACGTGGAAGTGCACGTGGACGTGGACTGTGGACATGGACGTGGACGTGGACATGGACGTGCACGTGGACGTGGACATGGGACGTTCACGTGGACGTGGACGTGGACTTGGACGTGGACGTGGACTGTGGACCGTGGACATGGACGTGGACGTGGACGTGGACTTGGACGTGGACTTGGACGTGGACATGGACATGGACTTGGACGTGGACATGGACATGGACGTGGACGTGGACGTGGACATGGACGTGGACGGGAGGTGGACATGGACGTGGACGTGGACGTGGACATGGACATGAACGTGGACGTGGACCCGGTGACGTGGACGTCTGGACATGGACATGGACAGTGGCCGTGGACGTGGACATGGACGTGGACGTGGACGTGGACGTGGACATGGACGTGGACGTGGACGTTGACGTGGACATGGACGTGGACGTGGACGTGGACGTGGACGTGGACATGGACGTGGACGTGGACGTGGACGTGGACGTGGACGTGGACATGGACGTGGACGTGGACGTGGACATGGACATGGACGTGGACGTGGACGTGGACATGGACGTGGACGTGGACGTGACGTGGACATGGACTTGGACGTGGACGTGGACGTGGACGTGGACATGGACGTGGACGTGGACGTGGACGTGGACATGGACGTGGACATGGACGTGGACGTGGACGTGGACGTGGACGTGGACATGGACGTGGACGTGGACGTGGACATGGACGTGGACGTGGACGTGGACGTGGACGTGGACGTGGACATGGACGTGGACGTGGACGTGGACATGGACGTGGACGTGGACGTGGACGTGGACCTGGACGTGGACGTGGACGTGGACATGGACGTGGACGTGGACATGGACGTGGACGTGGACGTGGACGTGGACATGGACGTGGACGTGGACATGGACGTGGACATGGACGTGGACATGGACGTGGACGTGGACGTGGACGTGGACGTGGACGTGGACGTGGACGTGGAGGTGGACGTGGACGTGGACGTGGACGTGGACATGGACGTGGACGTGGACGTGGACATGGAAGTGGACGTGGACGTGGACGTGGACGTGGACGTGGACATGGACGTGGACGTGGACATGGACGTGGACGTGGACGTGGACGTGGACGTGGACGTGGACGTGGACGTGCACGTGGACATGGACGTGGACGTGGACGTGGACGTGGACTTGGACGTGGACGTGGACGTGGACGTGGACGTGGACGTGGACGTGGACGTGGACGTGGACGTGGACGTGGACATGGACGTGGACGTGGACGTGGACATGGACGTGGACGTGGAGGTGGACGTGGACGTGGACGTGGACGTGGACGTGGACGTGGACGTGGACGTGGACCTGGACGTGGACGTGGACGTGGACTTGGACGTTGACGTGGACGTGGACGTGGACATGGACGTGGACGTGGACGTGGACGTGGACGTGGACGTGGACATGGACGTGGACGTGGACGTGGACGTGGACGTGGACGTGGACGTGGACATGGACGTGGACGTGGACGTGGACGTGGACGTGGACTTGGACGTGGACATGGACATGGACTTGGACGTGGACATGGACATGGACGTGGACGTGGACGTGGACATGGACGTGGACGTGGACGTGGACATGGACGTGGACGTGGACGTGGACATGGACATGGACGTGGACGTGGACGTGGACGTGGACGTGGACATGGACATGGACGTGGACGTGGACGTGGACATGGACGTGGACGTGGACGTGGACGTGGACATGGACGTGGACGTGGACGTTGACGTGGACATGGACTTGGACGTGGACGTGGACGTGGACGTGGACATGGACGTGGACGTGGACGTGGACGTGGACATGGACGTGGACGTGGACGTGGACATGGACATGGACGTGGACGTGGACGTGGACATGGACGTGGACGTGGACGTTGACGTGGACATGGACTTGGACGTGGACGTGGACGTGGACGTGGACATGGACGTGGACGTGGACGTGGACGTGGACATGGACGTGGACATGGACGTGGACGTGGACGTGGACGTGGACGTGGACATGGACGTGGACGTGGACGTGGACATGGACGTGGACGTGGACGTGGACGTGGACGTGGACGTGGACATGGACGTGGACGTGGACGTGGACATGGACGTGGACGTGGACGTGGACGTGGACATGGACGTGGACGTGGACGTGGACATGGACGTGGACGTGGACATGGACGTGGACGTGGACGTGGACGTGGACATGGACGTGGACGTGGACATGGACGTGGACATGGACGTGGACATGGACGTGGACGTGGACGTGGACGTGGACGTGGACGTGGACGGGGACGTGGACGTGGACGTGGACGTGGACGTGGACGTGGACATGGACGTGGACGTGGACGTGGACATGGACGTGGACGTGGACGTGGACGTGGACGTGGACGTGGACATGGACGTGGACGTGGACATGGACGTGGACGTGGACGTGGACGTGGACGTGGACGTGGACGTGGACGTGGACGTGGACATGGACGTGGACGTGGACGTGGACGTGGACTTGGACGTGGACGTGGACGTGGACGTGGACGTGGACGTGGACGTGGACGTGGACTTGGACGTGGACGTGGACATGGACGTGGACGTGGACGTGGACATGGACGTGGACGTGGACGTGGACGTGGACGTGGACGTGGACGTGGACGTGGACGTGGACCTGGACGTGGACGTGGACGTGGACTGGACTTGGACGTGGACGTGGACGTGGACATGGACGTGGACGTGGACGTGGACGTGGACGTGGACGTGGACGTGGACATGGACGTGGACGTGGACGTGGACGTGGACGTGGACGTGGACGTGGACGTGGACGTGGACGTGGACGTGGACGTGGACATGGACGTGGACGTGGACGTGGACATGGACGTGGACGTGGACATGGACGTGGACGTGGACGTGGACGTGGACATGGACGTGGACGTGGACATGGACGTGGACATGGACGTGGACATGGACGTGGACGTGGACGTGGACGTGGACGTGGACGTGGACGTGGACGTGGAGGTGGACGTGGACGTGGACGTGGACATGGACGTGGACGTGGACGTGGACGTGGACATGGACGTGGACGTGGACGTGGACATGGACGTGGACGTGGACGTGGACGTGGACGTGGACGTGGACGTGGACATGGACGTGGACGTGGACATGGACGTGGACGTGGACGTGGACGTGGACGTGGACGTGGACGTGGACGTGGACGTGGACATGGACGTGGACGTGGACGTGGACGTGGACTTGGACGTGGACGTGGACGTGGACGTGGACGTGGACGTGGACGTGGACGTGGACGTGGACGTGGACGTGGACATGGACGTGGACGTGGACGTGGACATGGACGTGGACGTGGACGTGGACATGGACGTGGACGTGGACGTGGACGTGGACGTGGACGTGGACATGGACGTGGACGTGGACGTGGACATGGACGTGGACGTGGACGTGGACGTGGACATGGACGTGGACGTGACGTGGACTTGGACTTTGACGTGGACGTGGACGTGGACATGGACGTGGACGTGGACGTGGACGTGGACATGGACGTGGACGTGGACGTGGACGTGGACGTGGACATGGACGTGGACGTGGACGTGGACGTGGACGTGGACGAAGACGTGGACATGGACGTGGACGTGGACGAAGACGTGGACGTGGACGTGGACGTGGACGTGGACCTGGACGTGGACGTGGACATGGACGTGGACGTGGACGTGGACATGGACGTGGACGTGGACGTGGACGTGGACGTGGACGTGGACGTGGACGTGGACGTGGACATGGACGTGGACGTGGACGTGGACGTGGACGTGGACGTGGACGTGGAAGTGGACGTGGACGTGGACGTGGACGTGGACATGGACGTGGACGTGGACATGGACGTGGACATGGACGTGGACGTGGACGTGGACGTGGACGTGGACGTGGACATGGACATGGACGTGGACGTGGACGTGGACGTGGACTTGGACGTGGACGTGGACGTGGACGTGGACGTGGACGTGGACGTGGACATGGACGTGGACGTGGACATGGACGTGGACGTGGACGTGGACATGGACGTGGACGTGGACGTGGACGTGGACGTGGACGTGGATGTGGACGTGGACGTGGACGTGGACGTGGACATGGACGTGGACGTGGACGTGGACATGGACGTGGACCTGGACGTGGACGACGTGGATGTGGACATGGACGTGGACGTGGACGTGGACATGGACGTGGACGTGGACGTGGACATGGACGTGGACGTGGACGTGGACGTGGACGTGGACGTGGACATGGACGTGGACGTGGACGTGGACGTGGACGTGGACATGGACGTGGACGTGGACGTGGACGTGGACATGGACGTGGACGTGGACGTGGACGTGGACGTGGACATGGACGTGGACGTGGACGTGGACATGGACGAGGACATGGACGTGGACCTGGACGTGGACGTGGAAGTGGACATGGACGTGGACGTGGACATGGACGTGGACGTGGACATGGACATGGACGTGGACGTGGAGGTGGACGTGGACGTGGACGTGGACGTGGACGTGGACATGGACGTGGACGTGGACGTGGACGTGGACGTGGACGTGGACATGGACGTGGACAAGGACGTGGACAAGGACGTGGACGTGGACGTGGACATGGACGTGGACGTGGACGTGGACATGGACGTGGACGTGGACGTGGACGTGGACATGGACGTGGACAGGGACGTGGACGTGGACGTGGACGTGGACGTGGACATGGACGTGGACGTGGACGTGGACGTGGACGTGGACGTGGACGTGGACGTGGACGTGGACGTGGACATGGACGTGGACGTGGACAAAGACGTGGACGTGGACATGGACGTGGACGTGGACCTGGACGTGGACGTGGACATGGACGTGGACGTGGACGTGGACATGGACGTGGACGTGGACGTGGACATGGACGTGGACGTGGACGTGGAAGTGGACGTGGAGGTGGACGTGGACGTGGACGTGGACATGGACGTGGACGTGGACGTGGACGTGGACGTGGACGTGGACGTGGACATGGACGTGGACGTGGACGTGGACGTGGACGTGGACGTGGACGTGGACGTGGACATGGACGTGGACGTGGACGTGGACGTGGACGTGGACATGGACGTGGACGTGGACGTGGACATGGACGTGGACGTGGACGTGGACGTGGACTTGGACGTGGACGTGGACGTGGACGTGGACGTGGACGTAGACGTGGACTTGGACGTGGACGTGGACATGGACGTGGACGTGGACGTGGACATGGACGTGGACGTGGACATGGACGTGGACGTGGACGTGGACGTGGACGTGGACTTGGACGTGGACGTGGACGTGGACATGGACGTGGACGTGGACATGGACGTGGACGTGGACGTGGACGTGGACATGGACGTGGACGTGGACGTGGACATGGACGTGGACGTGGACATGGACGTGGACATGGACGTGGACGTGGACGTGGACGTGGACATGGACGTGGACGTGGACGTGGACGACGTGGACATGGACGTGGACGTGGACGTGGACATGGACGTGGACGTGGACATGGACGTGGACGTGGACATGGACGTGGACGTGGACATGGACGTGGACGTGGACATGGACGTGGACGTGGACGTGGACATGGACGTGGACGTGGACATGGACGTGGACGTGGACGTGGACGTGGGTGGACGTGGACGTGGACGTGGACGTGGACATGGACGTGGACGTGGACGTGGACGTGGACGTGGACGTGGACATGGAAGTGGACGTGGACGTGGACGTGGACGTGGACATGGACATGGACGTGGACGTGGACGTGGACATGGACGTGGACGTGGACGTGGACGTGGACATGGACGTGGACGTGGACGTGGACATGGACGTGGACGTGGACATGGACGTGGACGTGGACGTGGACGTGGACATGGACGTGGACGTGGACATGGACGTGGACATGGACGTGGACATGGACGTGGACGTGGACGTGGACGTGGACGTGGACGTGGACGTGGACGTGGACGTGGACGTGGACGTGGACGTGGACGTGGACATGGACGTGGACGTGGACGTGGACATGGACGTGGATGTGGACGTGGACGTGGACGTGGACGTGGACATGGACGTGGACGTGGACATGGACGTGGACGTGGACGTGGACGTGGACGTGGACGTGGACGTGGACGTGGACGTGGACATGGACGTGGACGTGGACGTAGACGTGGACTTGGACGTGGACGTGGACGTGGACGTGGACGTGGACGTGGACGTAGACGTGGACTTGGACGTGGACGTGGACATGGACGTGGACGTGGACGTGGACATGGACGTGGACGTGGACGTGGACGTGGACGTGGACGTGGACGTGGACGTGGACGTGGACCTGGACGTGGACGTGGACGTGGACGTGGACTTTGACGTGGACGTGGACGTGGACATGGACGTGGACGTGGACGTGGACGTGGACGTGGACGTGGACATGGACGTGGACGTGGACGTGGACGTGGACGTGGACGTGGACGTGGACATCGACGTGGACGTGGACGTGGACGTGGACGTGGACTTGGACGTGGACATGGACATGGACTTGGACGTGGACATGGACATGGACGTGGACGTGGACGTGGACATGGACGTGGACGTGGACGTGGACATGGACGTGGACGTGGACGTGGACATGGACATGAACGTGGACGTGGACGTGGACGTGGACGTGGACATGGACATGGACGTGGACGTGGACGTGGACATGGACGTGGACGTGGACGTGGACGTGGACATGGACGTGGACGTGGACGTGGACGTGGACATGGTCTTTGACGTGGACGTGGACGTGGACGTGGACATGGACGTGGACGTGGACGTGGACGTGGACGTGGACGTGGACATGGACGTGGACGTGGACGTGGACATGGACATGGACGTGGACGTGGACGTGGACATGGACGTGGACGTGGACGTTGACGTGGACATGGACTTTGACGTGGACGTGGACGTGGACGTGGACATGGACGTGGACGTGGACGTGGACATGGACGTGGACATGGACGTGGACGTGGACGTGGACGTGGACGTGGACATGGACGTGGACGTGGACGTGGACATGGACGTGGACGTGGACGTGGACGTGGACGTGGACATGGACGTGGACGTGGACGTGGACATGGACGTGGACGTGGACGTGGACGTGGACATGGACGTGGACGTGGACGTGGACATGGACGTGGACGTGGACATGGACGTGGACGTGGACGTGGACGTGGACATGGACGTGGACGTGGACATGGACGTGGACATGGACGTGGACATGGACGTGGACGTGGACGTGGACGTGGACGTGACGTGGACGTGGACGTGGACGTGGACGTGGACGTGGACGTGGACGTGGACATGGACGTGGACGTGGACGTGGACATGGACGTGGACGTGGACGTGGACGTGGACGTGGACGTGGACATGGACGTGGACGTGGACATGGACGTGGACGTGGACGTGGACGTGGACGTGGACGTGGACGTGGACGTGGACGTGGACATGGACGTGGACGTGGACGTGGACGTGGACTTGGACGTGGACGTGGACGTGGACGTGGACGTGGACGTGGACGTGGACGTGGACGTGGACGTGGACGTGGACATGGACGTGGACGTGGACGTGGACATGGACGTGGACGTGGACGTGGACGTGGACGTGGACGTGGACGTGGACGTGGACGTGGACGTGACGTGGACTTGGACGTGGACGTGGACGTGGACGTGGACATGGACGTGGACGTGGACGTGGACGTGGACGTGGACGTGGACGTGGACATGGACGTGGACGTGGACGTGGACGTGGACGTGGACGTGGACGTGGACGTGGACGTGGACGTGGACGTGGACGTGGACATGGACGTGGACGTGGACGTGGACATGGACGTGGACGTGGACATGGACGTGGACGTGGACGTGGACGTGGACATGGACGTGGACGTGGACATGGACGTGGACATGGACGTGGACATGGACGTGGACGTGGACGTGGACGTGGACGTGGACGTGGACGTGGACGTGGACGTGGACGTGGACGTGGACATGGACGTGGACGTGGACGTGGACGTGGACATGGACGTGGACGTGGACGTGGACATGGAAGTGGACGTGGACGTGGACGTGGACGTGGACGTGGACGTGGACATGGACGTGGACGTGGACATGGACGTGGACGTGGACGTGGACGTGGACGTGGACGTGGACGTGGACGTGGACGTGGACATGGACGTGGACGTGGACGTGGACGTGGACGTGGACGTGGACGTGGACGTGGACGTGGACGTGGACGTGGACGTGGACGTGGACGTGGACGTGGACGTGGACATGGACGTGGACGTGGACGTGGACATGGACGTGGACGTGGACGTGGACATGGACGTGGACGTGGACGTGGACGTGGACGTGGACGTGGACATGGACGTGGACGTGGACGTGGACATGGACGTGGACGTGGACGTGGACGTGGACATGGACGTGGACGTGGACGTGGACGTGGACGTGGACGTGGACGTGGACGTGGACATGGACGTGGACGTGGACGTGGACGTGGACATGGACGTGGACGTGGACGTGGACGTGGACGTGGACGTGGACGTGGACGTGGACGTGGACGTGGACGTGGACGTGGACGTGGACGTGGACGTGGACGTGGACATGGACGTGGACGTGGACGTGGACATGGACGTGGACGTGGACGTGGACGTGGACGTGGACGTGGACGTGGACGTGGACCTGGACGTGGACGTGGACGTGGACTTGGACTTGGACGTGGACGTGGACGTGGACATGGACGTGGACGTGGACGTGGACGTGGACGTGGACGTGGACATGGACGTGGACGTGGACGTGGACGTGGACGTGGACGTGGACGTGGACGTGGACATGGACGTGGACGTGGACGTGGACGTGGACGTGGACTTGGACGTGGACATGGACGTGGACGTGGACGTGGACGTGGACATGGACGTGGACGTGGACGTGGACATGGACGTGGACGTGGACGTGGACATGGACGTGGACGTGGACGTGGACATGGACATGGACGTGGACGTGGACGTGGACGTGGACGTGGACATGGACATGGACGTGGACGTGGACGTGGACATGGACGTGGACGTGGACGTGGACGTGGACATGGACGTGGACGTGGACGTTGACGTGGACATGGACGTGGACGTGGACGTGGACGTGGACGTGGACATGGACGTGGACGTGGACGTGGACGTGGACGTGGACGTGGACATGGACGTGGACGTGGACGTGGACATGGACATGGACGTGGACGTGGACGTGGACATGGACGTGGACGTGGACGTGGACGTGGACATGGACGTTGACGTGGACGTGGACGTGGACGTGGACATGGACGTGGACGTGGACGTGGACATGGACGTGGACATGGACGTGGACGTGGACGTGGACGTGGACGTGGACATGGACGTGGACGTGGACGTGGACATGGACGTGGACGTGGACGTGGACGTGGACGTGGACGTGGACATGGACGTGGACGTGGACGTGGACATGGACGTGGACGTGGACGTGGACGTGGACATGGACGTGGACGTGGACGTGGACATGGACGTGGACGTGGACATGGACGTGGACGTGGACGTGGACGTGGACATGGACGTGGACGTGGACATGGACGTGGACATGGACGTGGACATGGACGTGGACGTGGACGTGGACGTGGACGTGGACGTGGACGTGGACGTGGAGTGGACGTGGACGTGGACGTGGACGTGGACATGGACGTGGACGTGGACGTGGACATGGAAGTGGACGTGGACGTGGACGTGGACGTGGACGTGGACATGGACGTGGACGTGGACATGGACGTGGACGTGGACGTGGACGTGGACGTGGACGTGGACGTGGACGTGGACGTGGACATGGACGTGGACGTGGACGTGGACGTGGACTTGGACGTGGACGTGGACGTGGACGTGGACGTGGACGTGGACGTGGACGTGGACGTGGACGTGGACGTGGACATGGACGTGGACGTGGACGTGGACATGGACGTGGACGTGGACGTGGACGTGGACGTGGACGTGGACGTGGACCTGGACGTGGACGTTGACGTGGACTGGACGTGGACGTGGACGTGGACGTGGACATGGACGTGGACGTGGACGTGGACGTGGACGTGGACGTGGACATGGACGTGGACGTGGACGTGGACGTGGACGTGGACGTGGACGTGGACGTGGACGTGGACGTGGACGTGGACGTGGACATGGACGTGGACGTGGACGTGGACGTGGACGTGGACGTGGACATGGACGTGGACGTGGACGTGGACGTGGACATGGACGTGGACGTGGACATGGACGTGGACATGGACGTGGACATGGACGTGGACGTGGACGTGGACGTGGACGTGGACGTGGACGTGGACGTGGACGTGGACGTGGACGTGGACGTGGACATGGACGTGGACGTGGACGTGGACGTGGACATGGACGTGGACGTGGACGTGGACATGGAAGTGGACGTGGACGTGGACGTGGACGTGGACGTGGACGTGGACATGGACGTGGACGTGGACATGGACGTGGACGTGGACGTGGACGTGGACGTGGACGTGGACGTGGACGTGGACGTGGACATGGACGTGGACGTGGACGTGGACGTGGACGTGGACGTGGACGTGGACGTGGACGTGGACGTGGACGTGGACGTGGACGTGGACTGGACGTGGACGTGGACATGGACGTGGACGTGGACGTGGACATGGACGTGGACGTGGACGTGGACATGGACGTGGACGTGGACGTGGACGTGGACGTGGACGTGGACATGGACGTGGACGTGGACGTGGACATGGACGTGGACGTGGACGTGGACGTGGACATGGACGTGGACGTGGACGTGGACGTGGACTTGGACGTGGACGTGGACGTGGACATGGACGTGGACGTGGACGTGGACGTGGACATGGACGTGGACGTGGACGTGGACGTGGACGTGGACATGGACGTGGACGTGGACGTGGACGTGGACGTGGACGTGACGTGGACATGGACGTGGACGTGGACGAAGACGTGGACGTGGACGTGGACGTGGACGTGGACGTGGACGTGGACGTGGACATGGACGTGGACGTGGACGTGGACATGGACGTGGACGTGGACGTGGACGTGGACGTGGACGTGGACGTGGACGTGGACGTGGACATGGACGTGGACGTGGACGTGGACGTGGACGTGGACGTGGACGTGGACGTGGAAGTGGACGTGGACGTAGACGTGGACGTGGACATGGACGTGGACGTGGACATGGACGTGGACATGGACGTGGACGTGGACGTGGACGTGGACGTGGACGTGGACGTGGACATGGACGTGGACGTGGACGTGGACGTGGACGTGGACGTGGACGTGGACGTGGACGTGGACGTGGACGTAGACGTGGACATGGACGTGGACGTGGACATGGACGTGGACGTGGACGTGGACATGGACGTGGACGTGGACGTGGACGTGGACGTGGACGTGGACGTGGACGTGGACGTGGACGTGGACATGGACGTGGACGTGGACGTGGACATGGACGTGGACGTGGACGTGGACGACGTGGACGTGGACATGGACGTGGACGTGGACGTGGACATGGACGTGGACGTGGACGTGGACATGGACGTGGACGTGGACGTGGACGTGGACGTGGACGTGGACATGGACGTGGACGTGGACGTGGACGTGGACGTGGACATGGACGTGGACGTGGACGTGGACGTGGACATGGACGTGGACGTGGACGTGGACGTGGACGTGGACATGGACGTGGACGTGGACGTGGACATGGACGTGGACATGGACGTGGACGTGGACGTGGACGTGGAAGTGGACATGGACGTGGACGTGGACATGGACGTGGACGTGGACATGGACATGGACGTGGACGTGGACGTGGACGTGGACGTGGACGTGGACGTGGACGTGGACATGGACGTGGACGTGGACGTGGACGTGGACGTGGACGTGGACATGGACGTGGACATGGACGTGGACATGGACGTGGACATGGACGTGGACATGGACGTGGACGTGGACATGGACGTGGACGTGGACGTGGACGTGGACATGGACGTGGACATGGACGTGGACGTGGACGTGGACGTGGACGTGGACATGGACGTGGACGTGGACGTGGACGTGGACGTGGACATGGACGTGGACGTGGACGTGGACGTGGACATGGACGTGGACGTGGACGTGGACGTGGACGTGGACTGGACGTGGACGTGGACGTGGACATGGACGTGGACGTGGACGTGGACGTGGACGTGGACATGGACATGGACGTGGACGTGGACAGGGACGTGGACGTGGACGTGGACATGGACGTGGACGTGGACGTGGACATGGACGTGGACGTGGACGTGGACATGGACGTGGACGTGGACAGGGACGTGGACGTGGACGTGGACGTGGACGTGGACGTGGACATGGACGTGGACGTGGACGTGGACGTGGACGTGGACGTGGACGTGGACATGGACGTGGACGTGGACGTGGACGTGGACATGGACGTGGACGGACGTGGACGTGGACGTGGACGTGGACGTGGACGTGGACATGGACGTGGACGTGGACGTGGACGTGGACGTGGACGTGGACGTGGACGTGGACGTGGACATGGACGTGGACGTGGACGTGGACGTGGACGTGGACATGGACGTGGACGTGGACGTGGACGTGGACGTGGACATGGACGTGGACGTGGACGTGGACATGGACGTGGACGTGGACGTGGACATGGACGTGGACGTGGACGTGGACGTGGACGTGGACGTGGACGTGGACGTGGACATGGACGTGGACGTGGACGTGGACGTGGACATGGACGTGGACGTGGACATGGACGTGGACGTGGACGTGGACGTGGACGTGGACGTGGACATGGACGTGGACGTGGACATGGACGTGGACGTGGACGTGGACGTGGACGTGGACGTGGACGTGGACGTGGACGTGGACGTGGACGTGGACGTGGACATGGACGTGGACGTGGACGTGGACGTGGACGTGGACGTGGACGTGGACGTGGACGTGGACGTGGACGTGGACGTGGACGTGGACGTGGACGTGGACGTGGACTTGGACGTGGACGTGGACATGGACGTGGACGTGGACGTGGACATGGACGTGGACGTGGACGTGGACATGGACGTGGACGTGGACGTGGACGTGGACATGGACGTGGACGTGGACGTGGACATGGACGTGGACGTGGACGTGGACATGGACATGGACGTGGACGTGGACGTGGACGTGGACGTGGACGTGGACGTGGACATGGACGTGGACGTGGACGTGGACGTGGACGTGGACGTGGACGTGGACATGGACGTGGACGTGGACGTGGACGTGGACGTGGACGTGGACGTGGACATGGACGTGGACGTGGACGTGGACGTGGACGTGGACGTGGACGTGGACGTGGACGTGGACGTGGACGTGGACGTGGACGTGGACGTGGACGTGGACACTGGACGTGGACGTGGACGTGGACGTGGACATGGACATGGACGTGGACGTGGACGTGGACGTGGACGTGGACGTGGACATGGACGTGGACGTGGACGTGGACGTGGACGTGGACGTGGACGTGGACGTGGACATGGACGTGGACGTGGACATGGACGTGGACGTGGACGTGGACGTGGACGTGGACGTGGACGTGGACGTGGACGTGGACGTGGACGTGGACTTGGACGTGGACGTGGACATGGACGTGGACGTGGACGTGGACATGGACGTGGACGTGGACGTGGACATGGACGTGGACGTGGACGTGGACGTGGACGTGGACATGGACGTGGACGTGGACGTGGACGTGGACATGGACGTGGACGTGGACGTGGACGTGGACATGGACGTGGACGTGGACGTGGACGTGGACGTGGACGTGGACGTGGACGTGGACGTGGACGTGGACGTGGACGTGGACGTGGACGTGGACGTGGACATGGACGTGGACGTGGACGTGGACGTGGACGTGGACGTGGACGTGGACATGGACGTGGACGTGGACGTGGACGTGGACGTGGACGTGGACGTGGACAGGACGTGGACGTGGACGTGGACGTGGACATGGACGTGGACGTGGACGTGGACGTGGACATGGACGTGGACGTGGACGTGGACGTGGACATGGACGTGGACGTGGACGTGGACATGGACGTGGACGTGGACGTGGACGTGGACATGGACGTGGACGTGGACGTGGACGTGGACGTGGACGTGGACGTGGACGTGGACGTGGACGTGGACGTGGACATGGACGTGGACGTGGACGTGGACATGGACGTGGACGTGGACGTGGACATGGACGTGGACGTGGACGTGGACGTGGACGTGGACGTGGACGTGGACGTGGACGTGGACGTGGACGTGGACGTGGACGTGGACGTGGACGTGGACATGGACGTGGACGTGGACATGGACGTGGACGTGGACGTGGACGTGGACGTGGACGTGGACGTGGACGTGGACGTGGACATGGACGTGGACGTGGACGTGGACGTGGACGTGGACGTGGACGTGGACGTGGACGTGGACGTGGACGTGGACTGGACGTGGACGTGGACATGGACGTGGACGTGGACGTGGACATGGACGTGGACGTGGACGTGGACATGGACGTGGACGTGGACGTGGACGTGGACGTGGACATGGACGTGGACGTGGACGTGGACATGGACGTGGACGTGGACGTGGACATGGACGTGGACGTGGACGTGGACGTGGACGTGGACGTGGACGTGGACGTGGACGTGGACATGGACGTGGACGTGGACGTGGACGTGGACATGGACGTGGACGTGGACGTGGACGTGGACGTGGACGTGGACGTGGACATGGACGTGGACGTGGACGTGGACGTGGACGTGGACGTGGACGTGGACTGGACGTGGACGTGGACATGGACGTGGACGTGGACGTGGACGTGGACGTGGACGTGGACGTGGACGTGGACATGGACGTGGACGTGGACGTGGACGTGGACATGGACGTGGACGTGGACGTGGACGTGGACATGGACGTGGACGTGGACGTGGACGTGGACATGGACGTGGACGTGGACGTGGACGTGGACGTGGACGTGGACATGGACGTGGACGTGGACCTGGACGTGGACGTGGACGTGGACATGGACGTGGACGTGGACGTGGACATGGACGTGGACGTGGACGTGGACATGGACGTGGACGTGGACGTGGACGTGGACGTGGACGTGGACGTGGACATGGACGTGGACGTGGACGTGGACGTGGACGTGGACATGGACGTGGACGTGGACGTGGACGTGGACGTGGACGTGGACGTGGACATGGACGTGGACGTGGACATGGACGTGGACATGGACGTGGACGTGGACGTGGACATGGACGTGGACGTGGACGTGGACATGGACGTGGACATGGACGTGGACGTGGACGTGGACATGGACGTGGACGTGGACGTGGACGTGGACGTGGACGTGGACGTGGACGTGGACATGGACGTGGACGTGGACGTGGACGTGGACATGGACGTGGACGTGGACGTGGACGTGGACATGGACGTGGACGTGGACGTGGAGATGGACGTGACGTGGACGTGGACATGGACGTGGACGTGGACGTGGACATGGACATGGACGTGGACGTGGACATGGACGTGGACGTGGACGTGGACGTGGACATGGACGTGGACGTGGACGTGGACGTGGACATGGACGTGGACGTGGACGTGGACGTGGACGTGGACATGGACGTGGACGTGGACGTGGACGTGGACGTGGACGTGGACGTGGACGTGGACGTGGACTGGACGTGGACGTGGACGTGGACCTGGACGTGGACATGGACGTGGACGTGGACGTGGACGTGGACATGGACGTGGACGTGGACGTGGACGTGGACATGGACGTGGACGTGGACGTGGACATGGACGTGGACGTGGACGTGGACGTGGACGTGGACGTGGACATGGACGTGGACGTGGACTGGACGTGGACGTGGACGTGGACATGGACGTGGACGTGGACATGGACGTGGACGTGGACGTGGACATGGACGTGGACGTGGACGTGGACATGGACGTGGACGTGGACGTGGACATGGACGTGGACGTGGACGTGGACGTGGACGTGGACATGGACGTGGACGTGGACGTGGACGTGGACGTGGACGTGGACGTGGACATGGACGTGGACGTGGACATGGACGTGGACATGGACGTGGACATGGACGTGGACGTGGACGTGGACGTGGACGTGGACATGGACGTGGACATGGACGTGGACGTGGACGTGGACATGGACGTGGACGTGGACTGGACGTGGACGTGGACGTGGACGTGGACATGGACGTGGACGTGGACGTGGACGTGGACGTGGACGTGGACGTGGACGTGGACGTGGACATGGACATGGACGTGGACGTGGAGATGGACGTGGACGTGGACGTGGACATGGACGTGGACGTGGACGTGGACATGGACATGGACGTGGACATGGACGTGGACGTGGACGTGGACGTGGACATGGACGTGGACGTGGACGTGGACGTGGACATGGACGTGGACGTGGACGTGGACGTGGACGTGGACATGGACGTGGACGTGGACGTGGACGTGGACGTGGACATGGACATGGACGTGGGACGTGGACGTGGACATGGACGTGGACATGGACGTGGACGTGGACATGGACGTGGACATGGACGTGGACATGGACGTGGACGTGGACGTGGACATGGACGTGGACGTGGACGTGGACGTGGACATGGACGTGGACGTGGACGTGGACGTGGACGTGGACGTGGACATGGACGTGGACGTGGACGTGGACATGGACGTGGACGTGGACATGGACGTGGACGTGGACGTGGACGTGGACGTGGACGTGGACATGGACGTGGACATGGACGTGGACGTGGACGTGGACGTGGACATGGACGTGGACATGGACGTGGACGTGGACGTGGACGTGGACGTGGACGTGGACGTGGACGTGGACGTGGTGGACGTGGACGTGGACGTGGACGTGGACGTGGACGTGGACATGGACGTGGACGTGGACGTGGACGTGGACGTGGACATGGACGTGGACGTGGACAGGGACGTGGACGTGGACGTGGACATGGACGTGGACGTGGACGTGGACATGGACGTGGACATGGACGTGGACGTGGACATGGACGTGGACGTGGACATGGACGTGGACATGGACGTGGACATGGACGTGGACGTGGACATGGACGTGGACATGGACGTGGACGTGGACATGGACGTGGACGTGGACATGGACGTGGACGTGGACGTGGACGTGGACATGGACGTGGACGTGGACGTGGACGTGGACGTGGACGTGGACGTGGACGTGGACGTGGACTTGGACGTGGACGTGGACGTGGACGTGGACGTGGACGTGGACATGGACGTGGACGTGGACGTGGACGTGGACATGGACGTGGACGTGGACGTGGACGTGGACATGGACGTGGACATGGACGTGGACGTGGACATGGACGTGGACGTGGACGTGGACGTGGACATGGACGTGGACGTGGACGTGGACATGGACGTGGACGTGGACGTGGACGTGGACGTGGACGTGGACGTGGACGTGGACGTGGACGTGGACGTGGACGTGGACGTGGACGTGGACGTGGACGTGGACGTGGACGTGGACGTGGACGTGGACGTGGACGTGGACGTGGACGTGGACGTGGACGTGGACGTGGACGTGGACGTGGACGTGGACGTGGACGTGGACGTGGACGTGGACGTGGACGTGGACGTGGACGTGGACGTGGACGTGGACGTGGACGTGGACGTGGACGTGGACGTGGACATGGACGTGGACGTGGACATGGACGTGGACGTGGACGTGGACATGGACGTGGACGTGGACATGGACGTGGACGTGGACGTGGACGTGGACATGGACATGGACGTGGACATGGACATGGACATGGACGTGGACATGGACGTGGACGTGGACGTGGACGTGGACGTGGACATGGACGTGGACGTGGACGTGGACGTGGACGTGGACGTGGACGTGGACGTGGACGTGGACGTGGACGTGGACGTGGACGTGGACGTGGACGTGGACATGGACGTGGACGTGGACGTGGACGTGGACGTGGACATGGACGTGGACGTGGACGTGGACATGGACGTGGACGTGGACGTGGACATGGACGTGGACGTGGACGTGGACGTGGACGTGGACGTGGACGTGGACGTGGACGTGGACATGGACGTGGACGTGGACGTGGACATGGACGTGGACGTGGACATGGACGTGGACGTGGACGTGGACGTGGACGTGGACGTGGACGTGGACGTGGACATGGACGTGGACGTGGACGTGGACGTGGACGTGGACGTGGACGTGGACGTGGACGTGGACGTGGACGTGGACGTGGACATGGACGTGGACGTGGACGTGGACGTGGACGTGGACGTGGACGTGGACGTGGACGTGGACGTGGACGTGGACGTGGACGTGGACGTGGACGTGGACGTGGACGTGGACGTGGACGTGGACATGGACGTGGACGTGGACGTGGACATGGACGTGGACGTGGACGTGGACATGGACGTGGACGTGGACGTGGACGTGGACGTGGACGTGGACGTGGACGTGGACATGGACGTGGACGTGGACATGGACGTGGACATGGACGTGGACGTGGACGTGGACGTGGACGTGGACGTGGACGTGGACATGGACGTGGACGTGGACGTGGACGTGGACGTGGACGTGGACGTGGACATGGACGTGGACGTGGACGTGGACGTGGACGTGGACGTGGACGTGGACGTGGACGTGGACGTGGACGTGGACGTGGACGTGGACGTGGACGTGGACGTGGACGTGGACGTGGACGTGGACGTGGACGTGGACGTGGACGTGGACGTGGACGTGGACGTGGACGTGGACGTGGACATGGACATGGACGTGGACGTGGACGTGGACGTGGACGTGGACGTGGACATGGACGTGGACGTGGACGTGGACGTGGACGTGGACGTGGACGTGGACGTGGACATGGACGTGGACGTGGACGTGGACGTGGACGTGGACGTGGACGTGGACGTGGACGTGGACGTGGACGTGGACGTGGACGTGGACGTGGACGTGGACGTGGACGTGGACGTGGACATGGACGTGGACGTGGACGTGGACATGGACGTGGACGTGGACGTGGACATGGACGTGGACGTGGACGTGGACGTGGACGTGGACATGGACGTGGACGTGGACGTGGACGTGGACATGGACGTGGACGTGGACGTGGACGTGGACGTGGACATGGACGTGGACGTGGACGTGGACATGGACGTGGACGTGGACGTGGACGTGGACGTGGACATGGACGTGGACGTGGACGTGGACGTGGACATGGACGTGGACGTGGACGTGGACGTGGACGTGGACGTGGACGTGGACATGGACGTGGACGTGGACGTGGACGTGGACGTGGACGTGGACGTGGACATGGACGTGGACGTGGACGTGGACGTGGACATGGACGTGGACGTGGACGTGGACGTGGACATGGACGTGGACGTGGACGTGGACGTGGACATGGACGTGGACGTGGACGTGGACGTGGACGTGGACGTGGACGTGGACGTGGACATGGACGTGGACGTGGACGTGGACGTGGACGTGGACATGGACGTGGACGTGGACGTGGACGTGGACGTGGACATGGACGTGGACGTGGACGTGGACATGGACGTGGACGTGGACGTGGACATGGACGTGGACGTGGACGTGGACGTGGACGTGGACGTGGACGTGGACGTGGACGTGGACGTGGACGTGGACGTGGACGTGGACGTGGACGTGGACATGGACGTGGACGTGGACATGGACGTGGACGTGGACGTGGACGTGGACGTGGACGTGGACGTGGACGTGGACATGGACGTGGACGTGGACGTGGACGTGGACGTGGACGTGGACGTGGACGTGGACGTGGACGTGGACGTGGACGTGGACGTGGACGTGGACATGGACGTGGACGTGGACGTGGACATGGACGTGGACGTGGACGTGGACATGGACGTGGACGTGGACGTGGACGTGGACGTGGACGTGGACATGGACGTGGACGTGGACGTGGACGTGGACATGGACGTGGACGTGGACATGGACGTGGACATGGACGTTGACGTGGACGTGGACGTGGACGTGGACGTGGACGTGGACATGGACGTGGACGTGGACGTGGACGTGGACATGGACGTGGACGTGGTGTGGACGTGGACGTGGACGTGGACGTGGACATGGACGTGGACGTGGACGTGGACGTGGACGTGGACGTGGACGTGGACGTGGACGTGGACGTGGACATGGACGTGGACGTGGACGTGGACGTGGACGTGGACGTGGACCAGGACGTGGACATGGACGTGGACGTGGACGTGGACGTGGACATGGACGTGGACGTGGACGTGGACGTGGACATGGACGTGGACGTGGACGTGGACGTGGACATGGACGTGGACGTGGACGTGGACGTGGACGTGGACGTGGACATGGACGTGGACGTGGACGTGGACGTGGACGTGGACGTGGACATGGACGTGGACGTGGACGTGGACATGGACGTGGACGTGGACGTGGACATGGACGTGGACGTGGACGTGGACATGGACGTGGACGTGGACGTGGACATGGACGTGGACGTGGACGTGGACCTGGACGTGGACATGGACGTGGACGTGGACGTGGACGTGGACCTGGACGTGGACGTGGACATGGACGTGGACGTGGACGTGGACGTGGACATGGACGTGGACGTGGACGTGGACATGGACGTGGACGTGGACATGGACAGGGACGTGGACATGGACGTGGACGTGGACGTGGACGTGGACGTGGACGTGGACTGGACGTGACGTGGACGTGGACGTGGACGTGGACGTGGACGTGGACGTGGACGTGGACATGGACGTGGACGTGGACGTGGACGTGGACATGGACGTGGACGTGGACGTGGATGGACGTGACGTGGACGTGGACATGGACGTGGACGTGGGGCGTGGACATGGACATGGACGTGGACGTGGACATGGACGTGGACGTGGACGTGGACGTGGACATGGACGTGGACGTGGACGTGGACGTGGACATGGACGTGGATGTGGACGTGGACGTGGACGTGGACATGGACGTGGACGTGGACGTGGACGTGACGGGACCTGGACGTGGACGTGGACGTAGATGTGGACGTGGACGTGGACGTGGACGTGGACGTGGACATGGACGTGGACGTGGACGTGGACGTGGACATGGACGTGGACGTGGACGTGGACGTGACATGGACGTGGACGTGGACGTGGACGTGGACGTGGACGTGGACGTGGACGTGGACGTGGACGTGGACATGGACGTGGACGTGGACGTGGACGTGGACGTGGACGTGGACAATGGACGTGGACGTGGACATTGGACGTGGACGTGGACGTGGACATGGACGTGGACGTGGACGTGGACATGGACGTGGACGTGGACGTGGACATGGACGTGGACGTGACGTGGACGTGGACGTGGACATGGACGTGGACGTGGACGTGGACGTGGACATGGACGTGGACGTGGACATGGACGTGGACGTGGACATGGACGTGGACATGGACGTGGACATGGACGTGGACGTGGACGTGGACGTGGACGTGGACATGGACGTGGACGTGGACGTGGACGTGGACGTGGACATGGACGTGGACGTGGACGTGGACGTGGACGTGGACGTGGACGTGGACATGGACGTGGACGTGGACGTGGACTGGACATGGACGTGGACGTTGGACGTGGACGTGGACATGGACATGGACGTGGACGTGGACATGGACGTGACGTGGACGTGGACATGGACGTGGACGTGGACGTGGACATGGACATGGACGTGGACATGGACGTGGACGTGGACGTGGACGTGGACATGGACGTGGACGTGGACGTGGACGTGGACATGGACGTGGACGTGGACGTGGACGTGGACGTGGACTGGACGTGGACGTGGACGGGGACGTGGACGTGGACATGGACGTGGACGTGGACGTGGACGTGGACATGGACGTGGACGTGGACGTGGACATGGACGTGGACGTGGACGTGGACATGGACGTGGACGTGGACGTGGACGTGGACATGGACGTGGACGTAGACGTGGACGGACATGGACGTGGACGTGGACGTGGACGTGGACGTGGAACATGGACGTGGACGTGGACGTGGACGTGGACGTGGACGTGGACGTGGACGTGGAC